GAATGGGTTTCTCACGTTATTTGTGGGGTGAGCATTCGATTCTTGGAGAGGTGTCTCAACCTAATCTTGAAGCCAACACTGAAGGTGGCAGAGATGTTTTTAATCAACATTCCAAACGGTCTCACATTGAATCCCACCGACCGAACCATCGCTGTGAACTTTCTCACTGCAATCTTGCAAGCCTCCACCGATTTGGCCCCAGAAACGGTCATCCTGCCAGCCGGGAAAATCATGGCCGTGGCGATTGGATCTTTGAGACGCATGACCAAGGGTGCGAATGACTCGGGATTATAGCTCAAGTCCAGACATGCATCAGCAATGGATTTCAGGTCCAAATCTGCTCCCAAGTTCACCGACGCCACCACAGATCTGACAAGCAGTAATATAATAAGAGCAGAATTAAAACACCATCAGTTATCTTTTTTGCTATTCATATAATAATTATTTAATTGCAAGAACTTACAAAACGGTTGGTTCCAACCCTTCCGGCGGCTCAATTGGACTCTGCTTCCACGGAGCATTCTTCAACTTGTGCGGTTCGGGAATGATGAAGTTGTACTGCGAATCAAGTTCGTACTTGGGATAAACAGTGCCCTTCCCATTTCCGAGAATGCCGTTGGCTTCAAAGATGGCAGGACTGACTTCAAAAGCAGGCCGTTGTCGTGGCAGATTGCACGGCACGAAACTTGGTGGATCTCCTTCTCCTCCAGTTCCAATTCGTCGAGCCGCCCGAAGTGGCAATTTCCGAGCTGTCTCAGTCGCCACCAAACTTGTTTTTCTTGCCGACTTTCGTTTGCCCTTGAGGTTTCCTTCAGCCAGTCCATCCTTCTGGCAGTCGTCGAAAAACTGATTTTCTGCTTTGACAGCTTCCAAGCACTCTTTCCGTAGTCGCTTCCTCTTGTCTTGACCCCTCAAAATTGGGTAGTTTCCAGAGTCGACGCGGACAAGTTTGTTGGGAGGCCACCCGTCTTCAAAGTCATCCAAGGAGCACGCATCAGGACTTTTGGGCTCATCCTTCACGGCCAGGTTTCTTTGCGTTGCCATAATGGTTAATTACGACCTGCAAATAAGTACAGGTGTGATTAATTTATCGCAGAGAGAGGGAAGACCGACTACTTGTATATTAAATTCGGCAGCAGTAATATCCACCTTCTAATAGTTGCAAATTGCAGCTATTAGAAGGTGGGAGGGGAGACCAATTTACTATCTAGCACCTACCTCCCCCCAATGTGACTTGCACTAATAAACTAATTACTAACGGACATTTACCTCTGGCTGTTGAATTTCACAAAATTTGTTGAGGAGTGCAAAAATCCGTCCGTCGTTGGCTGAGGCTGCTCGGCTAATGGTGATGGCTGACGTGGCACTCGACTCGTGGCAGAGTTTGCAATGAAGCACCACCAGGCGGCGCAGCAATCAGGATTGGCCACTTGACACTTGGACTCAAAATCAGTCTCACCATCTTGAGAGTCTCAAGTTGAGACTCGTTCCGTCTCAAAATTCGCAACGGCTGACGGGTCCGTGACCTTTCTCTGAGTCGCCAAGAAGGTCGGCTCACACGTCAAAATCATTTAGAAGATTATTACGTAGCCCTGATTCCTACAGGTTGATAAGTACACGAAGCACTCACCTAGTGAAATGCTAGCACAAATTGTTGAAGTTTTTGCAATTCAATAAAAAGTCAGAGGGTCAACAAGTGACAAATGCAACAGTTAGCGACATATTTGTGTATGTGGACAGCAGCATACATGAAAGTTGTAAATTAATTAATTACTGTAACCTATTCAGTTAGAAGGCAAACTTTGGCGAAAGAAAAAAATCATAATTTAATTTAATCATAAGAATTAAATTTTATGACCAAAATGGTTGAGTGATTTGAGAAGGAGGTGGTTTGGGTGGAAGGAAAAGATGAGGTTCTCAGAAAAAGTTCATGACATAAAGTTGAGCAGCAATTCATAATCAATTCAACTGGATTGACTTAATCATGGTCTTGGTGTGTGTAGGTGGGACAGATAATAATGTCTTCCAAAACTGGTTGAATCTTTATGTCGAAAAAACGTAACACAAACATTTAAAAGTAACATTTCAATATTATGCAAGTACTTTCTGCACAAAGTGAGTTCTCATGCATGACATGCAAATTTTAATAAAAAAGAATCTCATCTGTTCCATGATCTCGAATACAATTCTGTTTCTCTCAGATTTCCAATTAATTCCTGTGCTTGCCTTGCTTCCTGCGCTTGAGATGCATGCAGCTGCATCTGATTTCCTTTTTTAAATCATTTTGGTTCCATGTTGTTTAAAGTTATCAAATTGTTTTTCCTCTGCTTCGCATTTTCTTTGCTCCTCTGTTCTCCAGTTTTTCATTATCTCGCAAACTGCAGGCCTTATTTAGCTACCGTGTACATATATTTACATCCACCCAACTTGAACGGGTTACTTGGAAATTATCGATCCTCCGCAAAAATGCTCACCACCAAACCAACCACGAAGGAAGCGAATTGTTCCTTTGTGAGTAAATCCTTTGAATACAATTTTGCCGAGCAAGGTCAAAGTTTTGCCCGTCAAGTTGGTCGCCTCTTCTGTGTAGGACACATTAAATTGAGTGAATCTGGCTTCGACAGCCATTGCCATGAGGAGGACCAACCAACGCAACTGGCAGCCAATGTCTAGACCATGAAGCTTGGTCGACACAATTTCGATCATGAACATATCATCTCACATTTCCTTCGATGGAGACATTTCTCGGAAAAATCCGGTTTCATATTTCACACACACGTACCCGACGGATGGACTAGATCAACTTCCCCACCAGATAGACCTCCCCTCTTACAACAGTTAACACATACGTAGTTCGGCATCTGCATGGACTTTCACTCTGCACGCTCACGATGCTACGGGTCCCTATATCAGTCCTAGAACTGGATAATAATACAACCGATAAGCACGTTTCCCTCCAGTTCCTCTTGTTGATGACAACCAATAAATTCAATCCGGAGGGAAAGTTAACCCTCCACTAAAATTCCAAATGAACCCAATGCACTGAGATTGAGAGATCCAAGCCTCGTAAAATAAAATATCACCCTCATTCCCACAAAGTTTATCTCCTCAAACTTTCCAAACTGTTGATGAAGCATAAAGACGGGAGGGACGATAAAGAGATTCGGAGTCTGCATGCAGTGATAGCAGGGGGAGAAGAACAGCAACTTGTTCACTATCCGTTTTATGCCCCCTATAAAAAGACTGCAAAAGTAAAGCTGGTTGACAATTTGGCATTACAGAGGCACGAGTGGGGAAGGCTCCATCGGCGGCACTATTAATACACCAGACCACCAAAAATGTCTACAATTCATCACCTTCGCATATGCAACCCCCGTCGACGTGGGTACTGAATTGTATGATGTTGTCAACAAAATTGAATAGGAATAATTATTACGTTATGCAATGCGACATGACGCTTCAATGGTCGTAGTTACATCACATCCGCCCTACCCACCCATTTTCTCTCAGAAAGATGGAAATATATAAATGTATAAATGGATCACGAGCACTACTTTTCTTCTCAAGAAGTGAAATTAAATTATAGAAGTACGTCAAAAATCGCGTTAAAGCCGGTAAATAAATAGTTTTTGAGAGTAAACGGGATAACTTTTTTCTGCTGTGTATGTAGTGCACTGCACACAAATATTATCTGCCTCTGCATGAAAATGTCTGCATTATAAATAAGAAATGCAATACCGCCGCAGGATACAATGGAGTCGTGACAGGGATGCTAAACGTGGCATTACTAATAAACTTGAAAAGTTGAAATGGAATACGTGACTAAGGACGATATTCGGAAGGAGGACCATTTGGCATCGGCCGGTAACCTGGATCTGGCCTGACCTTTCCAACCAGGAAAACTTTGCTCCGTCCCCCAGAGTGGTCAGGGGAGAGAGAGGGATAGGAAAAGGTCTAAAATATCTGCAGATTGGTGCAACAAGTGCTCCATTTAGTGATCCTCCTCTACTTTCACTCTTGTCGGGAAGAGAAAGAAAATGGTTCGTTGTAGTCAGCCAGCTTTCCCCAGGGAGCAGGCTACGGGAGGCAGACGGATGATGAAGGCATTGGTGGGACGCTCTCGTCTCAACTCTCACTCTTTAGCCCTTCACTTTGCAATGCTAAATTATTTATGCCGTCTCCACTTCCTAAATGTGGAAGTACTTACTACGTAGGCATGTAAAAGTCACTCTAAAGTCACTGCTCACTTTGACATGAATCCGCTTATGTAAATATCTCCTGTGTCATTTAATTCAAGTTTAAATTTTACATGAACATTTTACACAAGTCCTTCCACATTAGGGCAATCTTCTACTTTGGAGTATTGTTCTTTTTTGGCATGGCTGGCAGAATGTCTTTTTCCGAGGTGGATGTGAGCTTGCATTTCGGTAGGAAGTGAGAAAACGTAGTTAGGCATCGACCCGGAAAACAACAGGAGGAAAGAAAGTACAAGATTGTGTTATCCTTGACATTGATAGGAGATGAGGACGCATCAGAGCGAGGTTCCAAGAAATGCCAGTCATTCGACATGTTCTATATAACGTAAAAATGTGCATAATCCTTCAACACCTGCCGCACACAAGGACGACGACGACGTACGTGACATAAACGGCAAGACAAAACTTTTCTCACTCCATTTTTAGGAAATATTTATTTATGTAATTGAAAGAGACGTCATTAGCAAGCAGACTTTTCATCATCGCAAAAAAAATGTTTTGGCATATGTCTGGCAAAGCTATTTTCGAACGTTGCTAAAAATATGGAGCAAGTTACTCGGAGAAAGTTTCGCATTAGATGAGAACATGCCGTGATTGTAGGACTAACTGCGGACAGCCACCTACCCACCGTCGGAGAAAGCAGCAAGAGTCGACTTTCTCCCACTACCCGAGAGGGAAGCGAGAGGACAACTTTGGAGGAGCTAGTTCCACCACTCGAGTTGCACCTATTTTCTAGGGACTCACCTGTTTCAACGTCGTGTACACGCCGGGCGGGCATGATTTTGTACTGGAGCGTGTTCCCGCACCACGCCTCCCGTCCCGTTCGATGTCGCCGAGAGAAAGACAAGGTCGTTGTGGGGGGTAGAGGTGGGAATTGCTGTACTTCCTCCCACCCCCATTGTTCACGCCACCAGTCTCTCCCGCCCCTTGCTTGTTGTTATTGTTGCAGCTGCTGCTGGACCCTTGGACAAGTTGGCTGTACTTGTAGGAGCGGAAGGAGGAGTTGTTGGAGCCGAGGGGGCCGATTTCGAGGGGAGTGTCGTACCGCGCAATGTCCCCCCAATCCACACTTTTTCTCCGGTAGCGGTAGTGCTGATATAGGAGGATGGAGACGCCGATGAGGAGCGTGAGCCCCACGAGGACCACGGTCACCAGGACGGCTGCATTTATCATTATACTTGTTTAATTGGTTTACGTATTGCTTCGGGTTAGTGGTCTGTCTTGGTCATTGTTATTTCCTCGTGTGCAGTAATAGAGCAACCTCGTGCTAGCTGGCTCCGTGCCACATGCTGCCTGAAAGTGAGAATCGTTAAAATTACTGTAACGTAATTTCGTTTTAGAATTTTTTATTTGTAATCAATTATCACTGCTCGTGAGTCATGTGACGGGTTCATGGTCAAACCCTCTGTAATATTAATGCATGCCTGGTGGTGAGTAAAGTAGCTTTTTAGTGGGCAATTAAACAATAGTTTGTGATTTAGTAATATTGTCGTCATCTGACATTGAAATGAATACTTTGACTAATTGCGATAATGTTTTCTGGTTTAGTGCCGCAATTAACCGAACCCACACTACGAGGAAAACAATGGAACAATATACAAATTATGGAGTCGCACTAACGAGAGGACGCTGAAATATATGTGTGCTCACGAGCTTGGAATTTATTCACAACTTTAGCTCCCCAAAAATTAACCCTTGAGGAGACAATCTTCAAGCCATGATGACAGCAGGAAGTGAACCGCGTCCCTTACTTATCGTCGCTCACTGCCTTCTCCTCGTGACCTTGGGGGCGAGAGTGGTCTCCAGTGCGGAGGAAGTCGCCCCCACCTTGAGACGAACCTTCTCGGACGAGGAGCTCGTCAATTTTTGCTCCACACGCCACACTGGCGCCCAGGCTGTCAAGCCACATGGCTACATCCACCCGATCTACTGCTCTCGGTTCATCATGTGCGCAAAGCTCAAGAGTGCTGAGGGCAAGGATCAGATCAGCGCGGAAGAAAAAATTTGTCCCCGTTGTCCAGAAAGCGTAACTAAGCTGGCCAATGATCCAAACCAACCTAGCAAGAATCGATCATCTGCAGTTTGTAAATTTGGACATCTTCACTTTGACGAAGAGTCACAAGTAACGTTATACATATCGCTAATAATACTTAACTCACGAACTGCTAGTTCACAAGTAAAATTATTCGTCCGTATTTCTACTTATAGACGTGTCGACCCCAAAAACGGCAATGCATTCAGAACGAGCTGCCGAGCAACAATGTTTGGGGCCGGAAGGATCTCAGCTCCGTCTGTGTCGATGTTCCGATTGGAAGCACTCAAACATTTGCGGATCCATATCATTGCGGAAAATATGTGACCTGCCATCGAGACAAGGACTACTTTAGGGATTTGTGGATTAGTGCGGAAGCCTGTCCGTCCTGCGAGTCCACCACGCCCGGCTGCCCCGACGGCTACATGCACTACAACCCCAATGGGACGGACGGACCCCACTCCCTCTGCCATCTGACCAATGTCCTCCCACCCGAAACTCCTCCGTGCAACCCAGATACGAGGAAGACGCATCCCATTTCTGGAGGGGGCCCGGAAGTGCTCTCGTCCACCACTCCCCCCATTCTCGACGTGCTGGATAACATCCCAAAATCCTACGAAGTCTCCGCCGCCAAAACGTTTTGTATCGAGAAGGAACAGGTGACGAAGCGCTACGCAGTCCCAGACAAGTGCAACTCGTACTTTTTCTGCTATGCCGACTTATACGACAGGGACGGGGACATGCGGCCACTGAACAAAGTGCACCATTTCCAATTCAACTGCGACACTTGTTCCGAGATCCATTCAGAGTCGGGCGATTGCAACGCGACGACGGGCGGTGAGACCAACTTTCTCCAGTTTGACTTTGAGCAGCAGACGTGCGTGGTGCCGACGAATGGGACTTGCCTCCACGACGGGACTTTCAAAGTGAATGAGGCCGAGGTTCAGGCGGAGAAAGTGGAGGTGGCGAAACACTCCTGGAAGGTGCCCATGCTGAGCCAGGAGGAGGTGAATGCCTTCTGCAAGGAGAAGGGCTCAGTCGCTGGCAATTTTAAGCATCCCAAGGACACCACGTGTGCCAGATATGTCGAGTGTTGGGAGACGATGGGAGTGTACAAGGAGAAGGCGTGTCCCCAGGTAATAGCAAACATCGTTAATATATAGAGACCATTTTTAGCCCGAGTCAGGGCTTATGGAACCGTCATGTCCGTCCGTCCGTCTGTCTGTCTGTCCGGCACGATAGAGCCAAAACGTCTGAACCGATTGACTTGAAATTTTTACCATATCTGTATAGGACAAAGTTAGGAAACGAGTTCGAAGATGGGCGAAATCGGTCAAGTGGTTGACCGGTGGGGGTCATCGGAGTGGGTGGGGTATTATGCACCAAAATTTCAGAATTGTCGTAGAAAGCTGATATTTGGTACAGAGGTTGCTAATGCCTCCTAATAGATAAAAATGACTTCAAGTTGGAAAAATTTTCATCTTGAGGGACCCTGGAGGGTGACCCATACCGATTTTTCAAAATCGTCATATTGAGCTGAAATTTGGTACACAGGTTGCGTGTGGGTCTTAATGGAAGAATATGAAATGACATTTGTAAAATTTTTATCTGGAGCGACCCTATGGGGTGACCCATACCGATTTTTAGAAAGTGGCTGAAAAAGATGAAATCCAGCACGGTGATACTTAATGGCTTCTTATGAAATAATATGAAGTTAAAAGTTTGCAAAATGCAACCAGAGTGACCCTGGGGGTGACCCATACTGATTTTTCGAGATCTTCATATCGAGCTGAAATTTGGTATGGAGACTGGACTATATGCAGCTTTAGTATGTATTTCAATTCGGACAAGAAGCGGACTCGGACTTATCGAGTCAAGGACTCTGTCCCTGACTCGGGCTATATGGAGTCTGCACTGTAGGTTTTTGACCGCTTATCGTATCGACACGTGGCTGGTGTCACCCTCAATTTCCAAGTTCATATCGAAACCATTGTAAGAATTTAAATGTATGGAAATGAGATGGTGATGTCACTTTTGGTGGGAATTACTGATGCCACAACCAATGGCCATAATTTTACTTTATTCCCACATTAAACCTTCGCAACTGCTTAACGTTGGTCTATCCACCAGTGCCACCACAGCTACAAAGGAAACAAGACGGCCTGTCCTGCTGGGCATTTATACTTTGATCCCAGTTCGGGCACCTGCCAACCCGGAAAGAATGACGCCGCGTGCAACCCCGAAGTTCCGGAACCCACGGTTCTGCCCGACCTGACCACGCCCTCCTCGATGCAATACGCCCCCGAGGACAAGGCTGACATACCACTCGAGGAAATTTCCGATGAGCCCGTTCACCCTGACCTCATGGCTTCCAAAGAGTGCAATCTCAAAAACTACGTGCAACGTGGCTACTGCAAAAACTATTTCACCTGCGACAGGAAAACCAGAATGGAGAAGCAACACACATGTTCAGGACGTTTGTACTGGAATCCCGACGTCGGGACGGTTCACGGCGGGGTTTGCGACTTTCTCAGAAATATCGACAACTTCACGCTCTACCAATACAAGAAGGATCCAGGGTGAGGGATCCACGCTATTTTCATGCATGTAACAGCTGCATAAATCTGTGCATTAAGGTGAGCTTGTTCATTTAGTTGCCCCCTCAATCTGGCCTATTTCCGCGTGGACGAGAAGGAGTGTTCCAACGTTTACTTTTACCACCATCCTACCCGCACGGAGGGGAAAGAGGTGAAGCTAACCTGTCCGGAAGACTTGTTGTGGTCCAAGGAGGTCCAAACCTGTGTCAAATGTCATCAAATCATGAAAACGGACGGGGTCACTCCTTGCTGCGAAGGAGGACAGGCGGAGGCGGAGGATGCAGATTCGAGGAGAAAAAGGAAAAGGTGATTGATTCCGGGGAAAAAACTCCTCATTTCTTAAACTCTTTGTGTTAATTGTGCAATAAATCATCTTGAGGTTGAGGTTGGGAAATAAAGTTTTCATTGTGAAATTAACCACGCAATATGAAATAAATAATTAAGTAAGTAAGAAATGACTGCTCTTTGTTCAAGTAAATTGTCCTTGACACAACAACAGCACGCATCACCACACGCCGAGTACGTTAACATTTGGAATTGTCAAGGGTCATTAAAATAGTTGAATGGTTACACAGGCTTTAATGGCACGGGTTGAATTTCAGGAATTTAACTACAAACCATAAATATGCTCCATGTTAAATTTCCTCAACAAGTCCCGTCAATCAACAATAGCCAACTAAATTCCATTGTGTTTCCCACTTGAAGTCTCGAAAATGCACTGCTCCTCAGACTTGGGAGACATTTGTTGTTAGGTGAAAGGAAAAATGCGTGCTTTCACTGCCACCACCACTCATCTCGCGTCACTCTCCCTCTTCTGGGCCTGGATCTTCAGTCTCTGCCCCTTTCTCCTCGCCTCGTCCATCCAAGTGGAGGACGTCACGCAGCAAACGCTCTCCGACGCCAACCTCACCTCAATCTGCCAACGTCTCCCTTCTTCCCTCACTTCCGCCACGCCCCACTCCGTCACGCACCCCTCGTACTGCTCACGTTACATCTCCTGCTCCATCGCCCCCACCCCTGACGAGAACGGAAACAGAATCGTGGCCACGGAACACGTGTGTCCTCGCTGCGACGCCAACACCCCAAAGTCCCAGTGTCCCTACGGCTATAAGAATTGGCACGAGGAGTCACAATCCTGCGTTCTGCCCTCCACACAGGACAAATGCAGACAAATGGAGCTGGCCACTCACAACGTGTGGGGCTCACCCTCGCTCGCCTCCGTCTGTGCGAAGTCTGACCTTGGCCAAGTCGTGCTCTATCCTCACCCCACATCCTGCTCGGGATACGTCAAGTGTTACAGGGACGCGGTCTTTAAGGGAGACGTGTGGGCCGTCCCGGACGCTTGCCCGGCCTGCGATCCGACCAATTCGTCCTGTGGGAAGGAAGGGTACCTTCATTACGCACCTCCCATTGGGGACTCTGACTCTGTATGTCATCTGCCTGGCGACATGGCTCCCGAACACAAATGCAACGACGCCATGCTACAGAAGGGAAACGAAGAGAAGGCCCCAAAAATAGGTGACCCTTCTCCATCCGTACAGCAACTCTTACTCGAAGGGAACTTTCCAACGATTAACCAAACCCCGTATGCCGCTAAATTCTGCATTCCGGGACGGAACAGCTCCCACAACGCCACGCCATCCCTGGACTGTGCAACAGGTATTTTTACTGTTGGGCCAATTTGTTTGACCGCGATGGTGACATGCGTCCTCTGGTTGACGTTCATCACTACGAGTTCACCTGCCCCACGTGTTTCGAGCGTGAGTCGGAGGGGATGAGCTGTCCCTTAGGTGAGGCAGGCCCAACGAGGAGTAATGGGACTTCCACGGGATATCTGACCTTCGACTTCACCGCCCAAGACTGCATCATTCCAACGAACGGCCATTGCGGACGGGGTGTTCACAGGAAGAGAAGTTGGAGCTGAACCACCAAAACCGGAAGTCAAACCAGAACAAGAGGAGAAACTCAACAGCCCAGCCGTCTTTGCCGAAGCGAGAGAATTTTGTAGGAAAAGGGACCAAGTTCCGGGGAGGATTGCGTCACCGGCGAAATGTCAAATGTACTATGCTTGTTGGGCCAACCTGTACGATAAGGCTGGGAACAAGAGACCACTCGAGAAGGTGGTCCACTTCAAGTTCAAGTGCGACAAGACCCCAGACTTGGCCGGATATGAGACGTTTGATAATACGGAGCAGAAGTGCGTCCTGCCCAAGGAGGGGAAAGTGTGTCGGTTGGATGGAACTTGGGGGACATGGATCCCAACACTGTCCATGGCACCCAACCACGTGATACCTTCTCATCCCACCGCCCCGGAAGTGATCGTTGCACCAGAGGTCACTTCACAGGGAGAGGAAATCGTGCAGCCAAACGACTTGGCCACCAAGTTCTGCAAAGGAAAGGGGAACGAAGATGACGGGAATTATCCACACCCCTCCGACCCGCCAAAAGCATCCGCATGCCTTCGCTTCATTCAGTGCTGGTTCGGGCAGAATCTGTTTAAAGAGATGAACTGCCCAAGTTGTCCCAGAGCCAGCATGACCTGTCCGCACGGGAGACTGTTCTTTAATGCAAGCAGTGGAGATTGTGAAACAACTCCAAACCCGGAAGTGTGCATCACACCTCCACTTTCACCTCGACTTTCACCACGCACGAAAAACAATAAGAATGCCAACAAGACCACAAAACTCAAAGTCCCTCCGACCGACAAGAGTGTTGTGCGTCCATCTCCGGGTCAAAATTCGACAGAGTTGCCCCCACCGACTGACTCGAATTCCCCGATTAAAGTTGCCACCCTCAACGAGCCTACTCCATTCCCTCCGCCACGAGCAGACGAGAAAGACCTGACCACACTCCCAGCTGACAATTATGAGGAGCCCGTCGACAAGTCCCATCTCATCCTCTCCACGGCAAAGAAATGTTCCCCCAAGAGGTATGTCCAGCATGGCTACTGCAAGCACTTTTTCTCCTGCGACCGGAAGAAGCGGATGGAGAAGAAACGCACGTGTTCCGGGCGCCTGTACTGGAATCCCGACGCGCAAACTATGCATGGGGGGCGGTGCGACTTTCTGAGGAATTTGGGGAATTTTACCCTTCGCGAGTACCAGAAGGACTCCACGTGTCCGCTCCACATTGTCTACTTCAGAGCTGACGATGAGCAGGGAAAGACTTGTTCCCCCCACTATTTCTTCCACCACCCGAAAAGGACGGAGGGAACGGAGGTCAGATTGTCATGTCCGGATGACCTCCTTTGGTCCAAGGAGATGAAAACCTGCGTCCTTTGCAACGAGTTGGTCAAAAAGGATGGCGTCACGCCCTGTTGCGGGAATGGGAAGGAGGTGGAACAGAAAAATGCTTTAAATGAAGGGTCGTTAAGTTTCTAAATGCTAATTAATTTCACATTTCACATTTTATTGTCGAGAATGCGAAACGCTGTGAATGAACCGGAAAGAAAATTAAGGATAGTTTTTTTTTGTGGACAATAAAGGAATTTTTTAGTACGTGTCATTTCGTCATTATCGCTTTTTAGATTATGTGCGTATTCTATTTACTACGCCGAGGTTTCTGTGGGCATTTTGTCCATACGACTGTAATGGCTTGTGAGTCATTACACGGAATAATAATCGATGACAAGGCCAAGGAAGCAGTTAAATTGCTGCCAGTTCATGTTTAATTTCACATTGTTCACAAAGTAAGTAATGCATACCACCCATTTCGTTGCCTATACACATATTATGCAGAACCAACTGAAGCAAAAATGAGCATGGTGTGCTAACTTGTTTTCCAGCTTTAAGTTGTATTTGATTCTGCACATTTCTTAAATAAAGTTGACCATTGTTTCCGGAATTTGTGTGAATTTGTTAAGCAATCATTCTCTGGTGCCATGACGGGCTTAGCAAAAGAAATTCTCCCCCTGCTCCTACTTCTCTCGGGCGTGGTGGCACTTACAGTAGGCGAAGACCCAGCCGCAGCTGGACTACAACCGCCCCCACTCCCTCCTCAACCACCACAACCAACAGCTAATAAGCCCAACAATAAGCCAGCAGGCCCCCCGATCAAGAAGCTGGACGGCCCCCCTCCGAATAAAATGAACGGCCAAAGCAAGAATAAGAAATCACCTCCTCCGCTGCCTCCCACAACTCCACAACCTGCTCGAGAAGAAGACTCTGCCATCGAGACCCCCAAGCTCAACATGAATGCCACCGCTCCCGTCAAGTGTGACCCTCGCGACTACGTCCAACGAGGGTAAGGAGGTCGTACTAATCACCTTACTTAACTAGCTTCTAAGCATCTCTTCCTCCTCTCTTCCAGCTACTGCCAAAAGTACTTCACCTGCAACAGGAAGCTGCGTCAGGAGATAAAGCATGGTTGCAGCGACGGTCTCTTTTGGAATCCCAGCTTCAACTCGATCCACGGCGGAGTTTGCGACTACTTGAGGAACATTGAGAACGAGACGTTGTACGAGTACAAGAAGGACCCGACCTGCGTTTTGGACGTGGCCTACTTCCGGTCCGAAGGGGAATGTTCCGGAAGATATTATTACAACCATCCGAAGAGGACGGAGGGTGTGGAGCAGGAGGAGGACTGCCCCCAAGGCCTCGTGTGGTCCAAGCTGAAGGAAAGCTGCGAGCTGTGTCACATGGTGAAGAAGGCGGACGGCACCCCCTGCTGCTCCGAAGCCATGGAGGACGACTACTGACGGTGGTGGGGACGTCGAGCGTCACGTGGGTGCAATCATACCTCCTCCTCCTCCAGCAAACCCATCTCATTCCATGCCTCGATGTCGATCCCATCCGTCGCCACTCATCTCTTCGTCATCTCAACGATTAATCTCGCACCTCTGTCATTATTTTCTTCATAGGAAAAAGCTATGAATCTAATTCTCTACAAAATATAAAACTTGCATCTTATTTCAAAATTAATAAAATTTGATCAATTAGAAAAACCCATTCTATTAAAAGCTATTGTGCACCGAAGCTTATTGTTGGAACCACACATAAGAATGTAGGACCTCCAAGACGTCGAACAATCAGCACTTATTGTGTTTAAGAATCTCACCGCACTAACTATTTATGGTAATAGTATGGAATGTGCTAATAAAATAAACCAAGTATTTCTTACGAGTTATTACGGTGCTTAATAATTTTGTGGCATACACAAATTCATAGTCGACCTCTACCATTTCTGAACAAGTATAAGACTCATTGCAACAGACTTATATTATTGAACATTTACATAAATATTCCTCCAAAAGTTTGGATATTCGACTCGGTACTCATTTTAAAACTTTGACCAAACTCCCACGAAAACTAATTTCACGCTATTTTTGTACCCAGATGAAGTTCATTCCCCCACTGCCGATGTTGACCTTGGGAGCCTTCCTCCTTGCTCTCGTCCACACCTGCTCCTCCTCTGACCTCAATCTGGCCACCTTCTGCCGCACCCACCAACCACCGCGGCCTCACGACCCCACTCAATCCGTCCTCGCTCGGGGCCACACCCACCCAAACTCGTGCTCCCAAGTCATCTACTGCAAGTGGACTTGGCCAGTCAAACCTGACGACGACTATGAACCAGACCACAAAATAAGCCGAAGATCGCCATATCGCAACTTCCACTCTCCGCAACCACCCAAGGTCAAGATCACCGTGGCCTCCTGCCCCACAAACCTTCACTTTGACCCCACCACCCAATCTTGTCGTCAGCCATCCCTCGCTGAATGTCACCTCCATCACGAGCAAAACGAAACGCCACACCCCACGAATAGCCAGACGAATGAGGTTTCTGACCCCGAGGACGACACGTTCCACACGCAGCATGCAGAGTGCGCCTCGACCTACTTCTTCCGCAGGTATGCCACCACGACCGACGGCGAAGGGGAGTCGATCGAGCTTACCTGTCCCCACGAACTCGTCTGGAACAGTGTAACCAAAACTTGTTCGAAATGCCAGCATGTCACCAGGAATGACGGAATTAGTCTGTGTTGTCATAATAGTGACGCACATGCGGTGCGTGATAACCACTAACAGAAAGTATGTAAATCTTAGCAGTTAAGAAAGATAAAAGAGAAATTGGTATAGATGAGATGAGAATATGTGCGTAATATCAATCTTTACGTGATCGCAGAAAATGTAAAAACAAGCCACTGCTCTCCTTTTATTTTTCTTCAAAATGTGTAAGTAAATTTGTGGAGGTCTGGCCTAAAAATAAGTGTACGAGTGGTTTCATGCACCTATTTACCAACCAGCAGCCCAATTATGGTGATCTCATCCATCCAGAAAAAAAGAATCAATATTTACATTTTCACTCAAAGTCTTATTCAGTTCATCAATGGGAAATGTTCATTAATGGAATGGGAACAAGGCGGCTGGGATTTTTCCTCTTTTCTCTGGGTTTTCTTGCTTTCATTTACTTCCACTCATGCATAACTCCAGTCAACAGTGGGTCTCATTAAATCATGCATCCCCACACCTGCTCACCAAGATCACCTTCATCCGCCAAGGAGAAGAAGATGATGATTCCCTCGAGCAAAAAAGCCAATTAGTCGTCGTTACATTACGTAATTTCGGTAAACAAGGCTGAAATAGAGTAAGAGCGAGAAATCCTCTCCAGCAAAAAAATACAAATCTTCCCATCCAAATAGCCATCCCGATTTAGCCAACTTTTATAAACTATGTGCATTCATTAAGAAAATAAATATGTAGCAGAAGAATGATATCATCATTTCTTGACGTGCTTATGAACATATTATTCACAAGATTTACTTACTCGCCCTCAACAAGAAAAAACAGATCATCTTATGAAGTGGAACTAGCGAGAAACGTGTCTGATGTGGGATGTGAAAGTCCAAGAAAGTTGGCGAATGCAGTGGCTGCGATCCGAATCAATCTCAACCTGACCGCAGCTAGCTCGAGGAAGAACAAGTTACTTGAAATAGTTTTACTTTGCAGACTTTTTCCTCGTTCCTTTTCCTCCCTGCCACTTCCACCACAAGCGATCGACAAGGTTTCTAAATCAAGCCTAAGATACTTGCATACTTATTAAATATAAAGGCCAGAAGGAGAAAAGAGATTCGTCTGCACTCCATCATATCGCATTATGCACATGGATTCACAAATACGCCAGAAAATTGTTCTCAGGCTCTCATATACGTATGAACTTATGAACTTATGCAATCACTATGTACGTACGTACGTTCGTACATCCGTCCTCGAGTCCCCCGTGTGCAAGTATATCCCGTCAGTTGCGACCAAGTAGAAACAGAATTGATTTATTTTATTCAAATTCTAGTGAAAATATGGATTTAGCTCTTCAACTTGAAAATTTTAATCAAACCACGAATCAACCACTCACTTGGTCCAATCCACTTGACATTTCCTGATGATGGGGCACTTTCATCCCTAATAAAAGCATAAAGTTAAGCAGCAGACTCCGCGTCTATTCTGATCCCCAAAAAGCGGACCGACCTTTCGGCAAAGATCAGCCAGGGAATGGGATACAAAATAGTAGTAAACGCGGCTGCGGAGAAAGTGGCAGTCGGAACATTATGGAGATCAAAATCAAAACCAAAAACATGTTTTCCCCGAATCCTGACTGATTGGGTCCTAATAAAAGATTCCCCATTTTCTATGCCGGTGCTCAATCCCCGGATAAATCTTTTCAGCCTATGCAGAATGCCCACCACACATTCGAATCACCAACCTCCATGCATAAATTTCACAATTTATCACTCAAAAAGTAGGCAGCGAAACTTGTGAGCATGGAAAACTAGCCACTCAATTTCAAATATACAACTCTGCATATGTACGTATTTATGTACATGCCTCCCGTTGGGTCCGTCCCTTTTACTCCTTCAAGTTTTAAGCACAAATTTCCTCAAAATTATGACTCGTCCGCCTATGGTATGTACTCGAGAGCCCATTAGGGAAACTTTGGCTGTTCCTTTGGCCGGGTCTCATGCAGGCAGGCGGTGTCCTGGCCGAATGTTGATGGAGTGGTGGTTATGGCGTGAGGTGGCTGTCAGAAGCAGGGCAACAAAATCTCCACTGCCCGCATGAACTTTCACTTTGCAATTTTAGTGCTTATGCATTCCTTGTGAATTTTGCTTTTGCACGCTGTAAAAACGTGTCTGGAACGATTGGATTGTGTGGGTGGGCAGGGTTTTCTGCCAGCTTTTTAGGTGCAGAAATTGAATAAACTCTGTCACCAGTGATCACCTAATGGCGGAGAATACAGCGATGAGAACAAGGAGAACATTTCCATGAAAAAAAAGAAAGCTTCTCTAGGAAAAAGTTACATTATGAATGGGTGAAATATTGCATTATTGCATGAACAGCATGTCCTTCCTCACACTTCTCCATTGTCAGCGCAGTTGTGTTACATGGATGTTTTTCAAGGAGCAGGCACTTTCAGCCAATTCTGGGAATTTTATCGTTTCTTCCAAATAATAGGATACTGTTCAAAGCAAAGGAGAATAATGGGATCGTCAACCGTAGAATCAAATTAGTCACGAAGTATACGGCACCCGTTGCTCGAATTGCGAGAAAGTAACAAAAAATATGGAAACTAAAACTTGACACGGTTTATAAATACATAGACTTCAAGAGGAAACTTTTAAAATTTTGTAAAACAAAGTTTTCTCATCAATCAAGGAAATATCAGTCATGCTCCTCTGCTAATTAATCAAGCAAACAATTAAAACGAACATTCCTCAAAACGAGACGACAACCAGTAAAAATGAATCACGTATTTATAACTCGACATTAATTTATCATGTGAGGTGCTAACAGCGCGGATCAATTAAGTAGGACGACGGTCTTATGTCTTTGACGAACAGGGAGCAAATCTTAATAAAAATGTCAAATTGGGAATCTAAATCACATGCGAGATCAAACCACAATGAAACAATTTGCAAAACAAATCTCTCCAACTTAACGAGAACTTTGGGAAAGATCAAAGGGACATCTTATGCAAGAGCCACATACGTAAGATCACCCCACCTGCAACCACTTTTGTATTTCTACTTTAAACGAGATTCAGATTCAGACGTTCTCGCATATGCACAAATCTCTTTCTACGCACCAACTTTTTATATAAGACCATTTGTTCGCTTGTTTGTCCTGGTCTCTTATTAACTTTACACGACGTGGGCACCTATACTTGTACATATGTACACGGATTACGTGGAACACTTCCTTCTACTCAGCCAGCCAAGTAGTTGGGCAACAAATTGAAGCAACTCATCAGAAAAGAATTGTCAACTAATGCAAGTCTCTAAATCCGTTTTGTCCTCCTCGCCCAACTCTTTGAAATGAAAAGCAACTCTTTCCCCACTGCTTCCAAACTTTCTTCGCATCGTCGCCTAAATTTTTAAACGCACTGTGCTACTCATCACGCCCTTAATTAAGAGTAATGATGGTAAAAAGTATGTAGGTCGGTCGGGCTGGGTGCGACACCATTTTGTACTCCACGACTATAGTATATGTACATACATGCTAACAATGCGATGGTGTGAAGTGTAACCCTCCGATTTGGTTGAGATTCGAAAATTATGTGGTCCATGTCAATACAACCAACGTTTCTTGAGGCGGTTCGTGCGATGATCAGAATTTGTCAAAAAAATTGAGGTCGAAGTTAAAAAAACGGGCGATTTTAGCACGGGATGAAAATGGAAGTTGAGTTTGCTTCCTCCGCCTGTTTTTGAACTTTAACCTCAAATACTTTGAGAAATTCCCACCATCGCACGAACTGCCTCAAGAAACATAGGTTGTATTGACATAATTTTCAAATTTCAACCAAATCGGAGGGTTACACTTCACACCATCGCATTGTAAGTCTAACAAAATTCGGTGGGGTTAACATATTCCAAGTGACAATTTGACAAAATATTATTTAAAGCGGAAAGTCACAGCCGTCGGAATCGCATCTCAGCGCCCAGCATGGGTCTGTCTGCAGAGCTTCGAAGTGACATTCAAAATGACATAATGCGGACCGAAATAGCAAATCCTTGGCCTTATTGGGGGTGCAATTAAATATGGAAATGACGACATCAGAGGATTTAGAATAATGCGGAGACGAGGTCCTGGGTCGTGTGAAACTTTTCCCACGTAGAAGCCATGTGATGATTAGGGCCGGAATAAAAAGCTTCTCACCCAGATATTTCAAGATTTTATTTCATTGGGTAACAAAAAGTAGATGAATTGGATAAAAATGCTCCCAATTAGTGCAAAATTTTGGAAAAACCTGGATGGGTGATAATACTGCCTTGCTCCATGACGATGAATAATATTATGACAAAGACACGAGTCCAGAGGGTTGGGCAATTCGACTTTCTCCATCACCGTCATAGCTTACAGATTACTCTCACTCCAGCCGTTCCATAAAGGACTGGAATGTTGGAAAGTCATTAAAATGCAGGAAACAAGTTTTTGAATGTCGAATTCGAGAGAAAGTGATTCTATAGAAAAACTCTTGTGCATTTCTCCAGGTTGGAAATATTCCACATTAATTTTGGATGAATAAATACGCTGAATATCCAAAACGTCAAGTGGAATAAAATAATTTTCCAAAGTTTGGGTTACGTGACTCGTAAAAAAGTATTTATGTCTGTAAATCATGGCAGTGATAAGAATTCCAAGTGCAAACGACGAGGCTCCTCCTGATGACGACGACGAGAGGAAATCATGACGTGATAGACGAATAAAAGTAGTTACATGACGTGAATATTAGTGATGATGAAGAATGGACAAAAACGCAGTAACTTTCGCTGTCGTCGCAGTACGAAGGGATGGTTGGAGGGTTGTGTAATATAGTTTTGGGAGAAGGCAATTATCCAGCTGCATGCACGACTGGTCCTCCGCGGAAACAAAACCCCACCCGTTCCCACTACCTATTGCCACTTTCCCATCTATTTGCCTCCCACTCATCACACGGGCGGAGAGGTTAATCAGAAATGCTACCAAGAATTACACGGTCGAAAGAGAAGGAATCTCTCATCAGCAGCTCACCTTCCAGGATGTCGATCTATCCGCGCAATTATGTCTCTGAGAACGCCATCATCATCAGGCCACGTGCAGGCAGGCAGACTACGTTTCATGCCACAATTCCACTCTCTCGATGCAACAACAATTAGAACTTTGAACTTTGCAACATGGACATAATTTTCCATCTCAACTCATCGGATCCATCAGCAGGAGTCCTTTTCACTCTCTCTCGAAGGAGCGGAATCAACACAAGCGTTCGCATTTCATCATCATCCCACTCACAAAAAGCCTGTCGTTTCCGTGCCGATGAGGGGTGGTCCCGCAGCCTCGTTCGCAGCACAGCCTCCGACTTCTTTGATGTGCTGCTGCAACCTTTTAGCGACACATCTGCCCAAGCCAGTGCCTCCCTGCCAACCACCACTCACAACCAGGATGACAAAATATTATGTGCCAAGGACTCTACGAGGAGGAGATGATGACCACCTCCGACACACCGTGCTCGATATCGAGGTCACCTCGGAGATGTAGTATTTAATACGTCTCAAGTACGTCTCAGTAGTAATTCCTGAGTCTACATCGCCTAATTCAACGCAGCCCAAGACGACGACGATGACGAGGAGGAGACAAGAAGAAGGACTCCATTATTTCCGCACTCTCACCTCCGCCGTGAATTCAATTAGAGCAACCTCTGCACCAATTAGACTCGAGAGATATTATGCCATTGTCCTCCTCGCTGTATCCACACCTTCCTGCACACGTATATACATACATACATATCTGGAGTTTATATACTCGAGATGTGCTCAAGGTGGAGACGGGGAGGAGGATTAATCGAAAAGTGGTTTCACGTCAAACGGGCCTAATGCAATGTGACACTTTGACAACATTGTTACGTCGGGAGGAGGAGAGAGGCATTGCGATTCATAATAAGTTATGATTGCGCTTACTCAATAATAACTGTGTAAACTTTATTTGGTTTCGAGTCAGTCAGTCAGCACTCAATGCGAGGACGAATAAATAAATCACGCTTCTCCATTGCGTAATCCAGAGTTCGGCCAGGATTTGTGAACAGGACGAGGCATAGTTTAATCCGACCCACTCATCCGTTTACTTATGTAGCTTAAATCCCATATACGTATATGTAAACAGGTCCATACACACGAGATGACAGAAAACCCACAAAAACTCTGAGAGACAAACGTAGAACAATTTTCGCATACAAACGAAGTGTCAACATAATTATTTACTGCGACTAACACGTTTCCCATCCTGCTTTCCCCTTCCCCTCACTGACACGAGGCCGCAGTATTGCACGCACGTATATCTTCACCGCATGACATTTCTGCATGTGTAAACAAGTGAGAAGAGAAATGAGTACACAATCGAATGATGTGTCGTTCGTCTCACTCGACGAGACAATTAGCACGAGCAAATAATGAGCTATACGAGTCAAATTCCAGTCCTTTAAAGTCCTCGAGAGGGACGTGAGAATGGCATTCATTTCAAATGCATGGGTTTGTGGGTTTGCCTTTCCGTCGAGCATTCGCAAGTTGAGACTGGTGACGACGACGAGGAGGACAAAGTAAGACTTGTGTATTACCACATTATTTCCCTGCGTCCGTCAACTTTGTGACAATAATAAATCCTTGTCGATATACTACAAAGGAGCAGTACACCTAGAAGTGTTGGTTACACAAGTAAGTGACGCTATTTATAGGCTGAAAGTGAAATCGGCAATGCAGTCAATCCTAATATATTGCATAATATTTGTACATACGCGAACCAAAATATCCCGAAAATTTATGAGAACCAAAAATAATCCGAATATTGAGCTCTGAACTCACCATTAAGTTTGCAATCCATCCCACAACTCGTCTTCTCGTATTAGAACAATGCAATGCGTATAATCTGTAGATTGAGGGGAACACAAGTGTTCAACTTTCTCTTCTCGCATCGGGCGAGCTGTGTCTCACATGCTGCATAATTCTACTCCTCATCCAGTCTCAATTTCGCTCACCACTGCCACCACTACCACCTCCGATATGTGGAACAAGACTGCCTTGCCTTCTCCCTCGTGGGCAAATTTGTTCACCACGTCTCACTTTATTGCACTCTTTTTACTGGGTGAGATGTGCGTGTAACTTGGAAAACGAGTTGTACTATGTGTGTCTGCAGCTGTATGTCAAGTATCGCTAATAAAAACTGAACAACGTGTATTCACTTTCGCCAAATTATGTGTTCACCAGGAGCTTTGTGAATCTCGTCATTCCAATTCCACTGGAGATTGAATCTTGATTGGAGTGAAAGTGAAGGGAAGGAGAAGGTTGGGACTTGCTAAACAAGAATATCGTCTCCTCGCCACCCAGAGTTCAACTTGTTCGACTTGCTGGGGCCGAAAGGTGATGAGCAAGAGGAGGAATTCACCAAGCTGATAACCTTGTTGCGCATCGAACGGTGAGGAAGAGTTGAATGAGGATTGAACGACGAGCGGTGTTACGACAGAGTCTTTTCTCCTTTGTCCCACACGTACATATGTATTTACTGGATACCGAGGAGGAGACGCGACGATGATGATGATGATGAAAGGAGAAGATGACAAATTGGTATTTTGTAGGGTTTTACTCTTCTCCAAGTCAGTTAAAAGCTTTAATCAAGGTGTGTATAGAAGAAAGGAGAGAGAGAGAGAGAGAGAGAGGAGAAAGTTGTTGAGGGCATGATGGATGGGAAGTGAGTCGTCAAACTAACGGCAAGCTCCCACCTTTTACTTACTCACCAACAACATTTCCCATCCTTCACCCGTCCACTGCCAACCTGCTTTTTGTCTCTCTCTGCCTCGGAGGGAGAAAAGGTGTCAGCAGAAAGAGTGGAAATGGGAGCGACGTGAACCACGGAAAGGTGTTTGGTATGAGAGGTGTAGCACTGTAGCAGATGCAGGTGGGAAATAACACACGACAAGCAAATACTAGGTCTAGGTGAAAGAAACACCAGCGACGATGGCTTATCAGGTCAGGTTGGCACGGAATTGGTGCTGATGAGATGTGTACAGATGGGTCGAGCAGGCGGCATGAAGCTGAGGGCCGAGAGATAGAAAGCTTGTAGAGAAAGCAAATGAAATAAATTAATATTGAAGATGATCGTCGAATGGGAGAGAGAGAGGAAAGACCTTGGATTTGCCAAGGCTTCAGGAAAGCGCAACACTTTTCAAGAGACCGTGATGAAGATTAATTTCTCTGAGAGGTGAAAAATGCGTGGGAATTTTGGTCAATAAAATAAGGAGGGCATTAATACTTCACCCTGTAAATAAATGAGCATGTAATCCCTTCTTTGTAGGCTACTTCAAGGCCACAAGCATTATATGTGCAACATAATTGGCATTACTGCTTTTTCAATTTCACCTACCATGAGATTACGACCAACCTTGTGGCTCTCTAAGACCTACCCAATTAATAAATGATATCAGAAATCGACATGTATGTTTTTCCAATCAGTTGATGTCGACAGATAACGCGTTGAGTACGTCAAATCTCAAAGTCCAATCCCTCCTCATCCTCCTCCTCCTCCCTTGCGTAATTTCAATTACTCTCCGTCTATCAGTCGCCTTCTGCTCATTTTTTTTGCCCGAGCCAGAGCTTATGGGATCGTCATGTCCGTCACATAGCCAAAACGCTTGAACAGATTTGACCAATTTATCCTCATCTTGAAATGTGGATCTCGACAAGAACTTGAAGGAGTTTGAAAATGGGCATGGATCCAGTGGTTGATCCAAAGGAGTATGCACTACCAAATTGTCGTAAAGAACTGAAATTTATCTATTTGGTTGAGGTTTCAACAAAATTTCCTTCTCGGTGTTGTCGACATTATGTCGCCCATCGCCATGATCTTGGCTGCGCCCTAGTTTGTCTCAAAATTTCCTAATAAGAGACGAGAAAAGTGACTTGTTCGGGCTATGTCAAGTCTGGTTTTTATATCTTTTGCAGAACTAAATGATTAACGGTCGAATAGTAATTACGGAAATGAGTTGGTAATCTCCTCGTTCATGATGCTTATCCACTTATCTAATTGATTAATTAATGTCCTGATTAGCTTTCCTTGTGAGGACTAGTGGGAAGTGAAAGTGGGAAGGGGCAGAGAAGACGGAGGCAGATTGAGACTGAAGGGAACAAGGAGGGAAGAAACCCAGCAGAAGTTCGGCTCAATTTTTAGATCCACTTTCCATCATCTTTTCCACAGTGCAAAAATCGGTTGTTAACTTGTTTTGTTTATCCTTTTAAGCTCGATAATTTTTGATTATTTTGTTAATTAAAGTGTTAACCTGCTGTTCAAGAGCTGAATTTATCTTAAAGGGTGCAAATCTGTACACATTAAATTAGCATGTTAAGAACCATTCAATGTTTAACTGGATGGAATAGCATAGCATTAGTTAACAATTTCTCAAGATGAACTAGCAGCTAGTTACTAGCTCAATTTGGAAGCTGAATGGTACATACCGTATTTTATGTTTAGCTAAATATATACTGTTCTTTAAAACGCTTAGATGTAAATATGTGTTATTTTAAGAATTAAATAGATTTGAACAAGTTTACGAGATGCCACTACTTTCCAATTCTCACCCCCACTCTTCTTGTAGTCGAGTTCATTTTGCCGAGAACGATGATAACGAGGATAAAAGCAGAGGTCACGGTCACCTGTCCAGGAATGAGAATGGAAATGGGGACAATACTAACGACGGGGGTGACAATGATGACAAAAAGACTCCAGATCGAGATGAAGTTAGGCAAGACCATACACTACCTCCCTTGCCCATCAAAAAGGTGGCCCTCCCCATTGTACGGTCTAAAATAGATCAACATGAAGCTCGTAAGAAGAACAATAATATTTAATTATTTACTGACAATAATATACTTATTTGTGCGTGATTGAGTTGTTAATCCGAAGTAGACATAGGATTTGTAATTTTGAAAGGAGCAACACAAAACCAATCTTTCATAAATCCATTACTATCTTTGCTGTAGAATTCCTATTGGGGGTGGATGATAAGAAATTCCAAAGTACGAAAACTCTCAAAGTTACCAATGGTTCCCTGTCGTCCCATCATAATAATAATCTACACGAAATATCGGATGCCGCAAATTCTGCATCTAAAATCCCGAAATCTCTTAAAAATCTGGTCGTTCGCGAAAAGATCCATCCCAACGTCAACCCTGGACGGAGAAAGGATCCTACTAAATCATCGTCCAAGTCGCCGACACGGGTTAATGCCATTGACTTGTCAAATAAAAATCCATACAATACTAAAATTGTCGTCTCACGGGGTGTCGAGATGAAAAGGGTGGATGGAAAATCTGATCATATTTCACAGCCACCAGTAAATCATTGATTACAGTCTAAATATTTAATGTACCAAGAAGATACTGTTAATTAATGGGGTCTTATTTTCAACAGGTATCAACTTACGGGTCCTCATCATGTAATAATAATATAAAGCCACGAACGGCCACAACCACGAGAAAACAAGCTTCCTCCTCTACGGCAGAGTCATCATCGAGTAAAAATTTGAAACGCAAATCTGTCACAATCGAACCATCATCACTGCGTCCTGCAAAATCCAAAGGGAAACCATCCACCGTAGTTGTGACACCTTCGTCTCAAAATGAATCTGCCCCCTTGGCCACGACCGGTGCGGGAGAAGGTCATCCCGGTATCGTGTTGGCAGAATCGTACAAGACATTGAAAGAGTTTTTAAACCTGCCACCCGTTATTCCTGTCTCGAACGATAAAAAAGATGACAGCCAGCAGCAACAGGAGGAAGACAAAGCTATTACGGAACCACCGCCAACAAAATCAAAACCTACCGCAAATTCCTACTACAAGTCTAAATTTTGGGAATACGTTGACCCAAATAAGAAGGCACCATCGTCCAAACCACCAGAGAAACCAAAGGCGTATGATCCCACAGCTGTGAAAAGTTTCATTGAGAAACAGAAAGAAAGTCGACGGGAAAAGGAGACGGCAGATTTGAAAGCGAAGCAAGAACAGTTGGACAAGAAAAAGAAACACTTGGCACTATTGAAGGAAAAGTGTCGTCATTTGGTGGTGGGCAGTGGGAAAACTCCACCGACTACGACCTCATTAACAGCTACCACCAGTACCAAGGGGTTAAAAACAAGTACCACGACCACCTCTGGCGACGATGCCTACAATTTCATCAGGAAAGATGTGCTGGAGCAGGTCCTCCAAAAAGTAGCGACTGGTAGTGCCCCACCAAGTAGTGAAATAAAAGTTATTCATCATAAACCTCCTCCACCTCCTCGTGTCCAGTACCACTCTGTTCGACCAGTAATTAAGTCACCTCATCGACCACCACAACCTCAACGTCGTCTCCCAATGTCCAGTCCGAGTAGCAGGACCATCACCAACACCACCACGTCCTCCGCTGCAGTGTCGAGAAGCTCAATTCTGCTCCAAGAATTTGAAACAATTGTGAAACGAGAATGCATAAACTTCTTTCAAACAAAACACGTCGCGACTGAAACGATGCCACAGCCTTCACTTCCCCCACCACCATCATCATCGGTGGAAAAACGGTTTTCTGAAAAATGTGTCGCAACCACGGCGAGTTTAGGAGAATTGGAGAAATCCAATAATATTTTCTCCTCAAAATCTTCCATCCTGTCAGACAACTCGTCCATAATTTCCGTCAAACTAAGAACAATGCATGATTACGATGCTGCAGCGTCCAAAATCCAGGCCGCTTTTAAGGGATACAAGGAGCGAAAAATACTAAAGGAGGCGAACATTCTTCCTCGAGATTTGCTTCGAGTCAAGAAAATGCTCGCCCTAAAGAGACCGGTGGGAATCGGTGGATCAGGTTTTAAAATGTCTTCCTTCTCTTCAAAAATGCCAGAAAAACCATACGATCAGGAATCACCATCATCTTCTTACTCCGATTATTTAAAACAAAAGCTTGGCAAGAACGAGAGCAAGATTCGACACGTGTCACCAACGGTCACTCCTCACGCTCCCGCACGACCAACCTCTTCTTCCTCGTCGCGAAAGTCATTTAACGAGCCCTACCCAACGGAAGCTATTCAGCGATTACAGCAGGAGGCCCAAGTGGCAGCCGTGTCGAGACGAAATTCTTTGTCGGAACTGAGAAAATGTGTCATGCTCCCCGAAACTCGTCCTCGGCCCAATTTAGACGCCTCGCTTTTGGATACAACGTTGACACCGAAAAATTCTTCAACGGGACTACTAAATTTGAGAAGAAAGTCTGAGAGTCTAGGATTGGGTATCGGTCAGCCAGCTCCATCAATTTCGGCCGTCTTGTTTGAAAAACTCAAGGGTTTGCAGAGTGAGAGAGGCAAGTGAAATTATGTTTTATTAAAAATGAAAATAAGCAAGTTTAACTAAAATAATATGCTATTTTGATTTACAGATGCAATCACGACGAGAAAGAGTGTGTCGGCCATACATCTCACCCCTCCTGCAGTGGATGACGATTTTGAATCCATCTCCTCCATTGCTCATCCTCACGACTCGCAGGATGTTTCTATCACGGATGACTATTTTGGTCCATCTGACTCTGAAATGCATCATCCCCGCACTCTGACATCCACTCCTCTGAAACTACTATCTGAGACGAGTCTCCATCAATCACAAGAGCAAAAGCACCATCGTATTCATCATGGTCCCCGAAAATCCAAATCCCCTAAATCTCCATCTTCCAGGGAAGATGAGTCAGCTAGCACAACCACAGTAGAGACTGATGTAGAACTTGGACCAGGTCAAGGTCACCCCACCACAACAGTGACCACGTCAACAACGCCGGGTCAACCTTCATCCACATCGGCTCTTCCCATGCCTGCCATGACATTGAGGTATCACGCGGAACGAGAACGGCTTAACATTTTGGAAAAGGCCATTCAAGCAGCGACTTTGTACGAAAAAAGACATGATCGTGTTGCACCACCGCCAGTTCAAGCACCACCACCACCTCAGCCGCCTGTGAAAGTGCCCACCACTTCTGAAATTGAGAGTATTGCAAAGAAAGTTGCCGAAGACCGGATTAAAGTGAACCTGGCCGAGTTGGAGAAGGAAAAATGGAGCAATCTTATCAAACAACAAGAGTCAACACAACAAACGTCGTCCTTGAACAACTTGGCTTTGGAAGTGATGAAATGTCAACAAGAGGCAGCAGCAGCGACAGCGGAAGTTTCCAAGATGATGATGCAAGTGGGCAAGTCAGTTTTGGAGGACAGACAACAAGAGAGAATTTTTCAAGAGAACAGGATTCATCAGCAGCAACTCCAGGCCAGGATAAGTGACGATCCCGTAAATATGGCAGCGATTGTGGTTGCTGCTGTGGACGAGGCTCAAAGGATTGTTGAAAGGGAACGACAACATCGAGAAGCTCTAAGTCGGGTGACACGAAGACCTCATCAAAGAGGGGAAGAATTCCAGAGAGTGGAAGAACAGGAAGCTAGCGAAAAACAAATATTCAGATTTTCGACTCCTTCCCATCAAGATGTTGCTCTTCAATTTCCATCATTTTCCTCATCATCGGAAACCCCTTCCGTGGTTGGCGTGGGGGACGATGAGCAACTGGAGAAAGAACTGAACCAAGGAGACGAGTTATCATTGGACCACCTTCAATCATTTGTTGATGATCAACCAGACAACAGATTTGAACAAGAGTCGTCCGAAGTAGAGATGATCAAATCGGTGACACAGCTTTCTGAGCAAAACAATTATCACACCTCGCAAAATGAAACGCCCTCGAAAATTGAAGTAGTCGAAGATTCCTTCACCAGCAAGCCAGCAGACGACAAGACGGAGGAGTCGATAGGATTCGAGGCGTCGTTCCTTTCTGAAGAGAAAGAACCCACAGAAGAACAAGGGACAGAGTCGTCAATTCCAGAAGTAGCCGATGTAGATGAAGACAACAAAACAGAGTCCCCACTTGCAATCAGTCATATTGAGGAGGAAGAAGAGCAGGAAATATTTGAAAATAGTAAAGTCGAATCCGTTTCCGAAGTGAAGGCTGAAGTTGGAACAAATATCTCAATCGGTGAATTCAGCAGGTCCAAAGAAGAAGATGACCATGATCATGACTTGGCATCTTTTATGTCTGACATGCAACAATCTGAAGGACATGACGAAATGGATAAAAAGCATGGATCGCAAATGGATGACCATGAAAATGACTTCATTTATTCCGGGACCGTGGAGGAGGAGGAGCAGAAGGGCATCATCAGCAGTCCTACCATTGAACAATTCCTGGTCCTGGATGACTCTCCTGGAAGATTAGAAGGGATGGAAGAAGAAGATGATGATGAAGGAAAAATAGTAAAAATATCACAACCACCTTTTACCAAGGAGCATGAAGAACCGGAAAGGTCGGAGAGTAATATTCCTATCCTCAACGACGAGATTGTGCCAACTAAAGAAAGTGAGGACATTCCCTTGCTGTCCATACAGCATTCTTCATTGTCTCCTCCTCCCCCAGAAGAAGCAGTCCATTCTGTCGTCATAAACCAAACAATTGAGTCAGAAAACGTTGCGACCAGTTCCCCCCTCGAGCCAGGCAATGTTCATAAGGATGAGTCAGCCCCCTCCGCTGTGGAAGAAGATAATAATAATAATCCTGAGAGTATCCTCGAGTCTATCGGCTATGATGTTGACAGCGACGTTGGGGCTGACATTGACATTTCCTCTAATGCTGACCGTGATTTGAGTAATCAGAGTGGGCAATTAATTCCCAGCGGGGATGATGAAAACGGAGTCATTAACGATGATGATGATGGCAAAAAGAAGCCAACAATTAAAACTCCGTCACCACCTCCGTCACCACTCTCAATTCATGATCACAAAGAAGAAGGGGCAGTGACCCCTCCTGATACCGCTCAATCTGACCTTAACATAGACCAGCTCCCTCAACAAATGCTGGTAAAGGTGACGATTGACAATGGGAAAGATAATTCCGAGAATGAAACCATGAATGAAAATTCTCCCATCGTGGTTACCCTTGAAACGGAACTGGTGAAAGACTCAGAAGAGCTTAGTGCCCAACAACAGCTACCACCACCGCAAGACTTTTCATCTTTATTATCCGACCCTGAAAATAAAGATGTCAATTCCTCCCTCCTCTCTGAAGTTAGTGACAAATATAGCGAGTCATTTCTCTCTGATAAAGAAGGAGACGAAGAAGAGGCGGATTCCGAGCCCCGTTTCGAAGAAGAGGGTGATAATGACGAGAGCGAGTCACGGGCAGGATCTAAAAATTCATACCAAGAAGAAAGAGACCAAAGTCCGGAAAAGGATTTAATACTTTCTCCAATTGTGGATTCCACCCCCGAGGAGGACTCGGCAACCAGTCCCACAAAGGATGAGTTTGGTGAAGAGGATGAAAAAGGATCTCCTCGTACGACTGAAATGGATCCCCCACAAATCCCCATTACTACTACCACTACACTTACACTTACTCCTGCTACTACAATCACCACGACCTTCCCGGAAACCCAGAGTGTACCACAACCTCCACCACCACCAGAACCGCTTGAGGACAAATCTGAACTATTCCAATTGGTGACCCAACAGCGGCAAAGAGTGGAAGACGAGGTACACATATTTTCATCACTAAAATAAATTAATATGCTCTCTTTCTTTGGAATCAGTATGGGCGGTGTGAGGGAAGGGATTATTATTTTGTTTATTATAATAGTTTATTTTCATTCGTGTTCACAGATTCGAGAGCTTGAGGCACAAATTTCTACCTCGCCCAGTGATGCAATTGATGACTACTTGTCCGCCTTGAAACAGGAGGGTGGCGATGCGAGAATCATTACTTGTCCCCGACCACCTCCACCCTACCCTCCAGTCGACTCTGTCTTGTCTACCCTCCACAGACATATCGACGAGAACAGGATGGAGGATCCAGAACTTATTCACCGGGTCGTGGCGGAAGAGGTCGACCGTGTTTGGGACGAGTACGTCAGAACGGGAAACATTAAAATTGAAGAACAAGTGGTGGCAGATGTGGAAGAAGAAAAGGAGGAGGAAGATCTTGAAGGTGACGATTTTGAAATTGGTGATGACATTGATGCCAGCAACATGGAATTATTCGCCAACTACATTCGTGACAACACCGTTGCTCTCACTCACCTGGTCCGTGAAACAATCCGCTCCACGTTAAGCATTCCTGAATTGAAGACACCCGTCGGATTTGTGGATACTTGTCGACGTGGCGTTTATGCCCTGGAGGCGAAGGAGTTCAAAGTTCCAAAAACCAAGGAAGCCCTCATCGCCGCTGTAGAACGTGCTATCGCCCCTATTCCGCTTGAACCAAAACAAGTGAACGGGGAGAAACCGCAAGTCTTAAAAAATCTGACAACCCATGCAACCTGGACTTGTCGGCCAATGGACGTTGTGGAAAATATTTTAGTCCCTGAAATTATACAGGATGAACTTAACTGGGTAAACGCGTGGCCTGAAGCTCTCCTCCTTCAGGAAGAATGTAAAGATAAAATCGTTGCTGCGTGTTTAAAAGATGTCTTGCAAAATTTTGAACAAGCATTCAAAAACTGTTGAATATGTGTTTCGAATTTCCGACTCCATAAATAAGAATTATACTTAAATTGTGATATTACGTAATTTATACTCCGTCCCACAAACATTTGTAATTTATTGAGCAAAAGTTCTGAATATTTTTGTAATAAATTGTCTATGCCATGATATTTAGCCAAGAATAACAATAAGCCGTCTTAAATAATATTAATAAATTCCAAATTATTGATCTCACAGACTGGCTTTAAATCTAATAATTTTGCAGAAGGGTGCAAGGTATATATGTATTTATTATCCGTATTTTGTGATACTAACTTTCTTACGAGTTTAAATAAATGAATAAATAAATCATTTCACTTGATTTGTCACACCAGTTTGTACCATCATCATTTGTTTCCTCCATAAACCGATGAGAGATGAAGTGAAGAAATACTAATAAGTGGGTTCTCAAGATTCCACTTACCGTGTCATCATCATTACCCCGACGAGAATTGATTCTGTTCTTCGTGTGAGACGAGAGTGAAAGTATTCATGCAGTTCACTCTGAAACGTACACTCCATCCAGTCAAGCATTCCAGACTGCTTACATATTACATGTCGGTGCACTCCTTCCAGTCCAACTTAATCGAATCACAACGGGGTATTAAAGTTCACTCGATTATTTATTCCGTCCGTCCGTTTCGACTCCCCAAAAACTATACAAGTATATAAATACAAAGCAGCTTATTATTGCTCTTGCTTATTGAAATAATTTTATTAGTTTCATGGCCAATTTGTTATAAATTCCTGCACTCGCGACTACAGTCAAAGGTCACTGGGATTGTTGCACTTGTCGTTGAAACTTGGGATTCTATTGGAGTTTAAAGTTGAGCCAAGTGGAGGCATAAAGTAGCCGTCTGTCCACCCCCTCGTCTAGTCTGGTCCGTAACTGGAGTGAGACTGACAACTTTCTCTCTCTCTCCGCTACCCGGAATATGATCTGGAACAAAGGGAGAAATCAGTGAGGGAAGGACTGAAGGAAAAGCAGGCAACAACATGAAAGGACTGAACAGAGGATGACTGCTGACAAGGACCAACCCAGTCGTCGGTCCTTGTCAACAGTCATCCTCTGTTCAATGGATATTTGGATATTCCGTTGTTGCGAACGATTTCATGCAGGAAAATCACAAAATGTTTTCACTTTGGAACAAGGTACGTATACGCAGAACAGAACCATCTCCAATGAATGCATATACATACGTACGTACACACGGAAATAATTTGAATGTTTTCACTATCCAGTGAAGTGAGTGAGCAGAGCTCAGCAGGTAGGATGAAAGTGAAACTTGAGACGAGGATTGGAGGAGGCAGAGAAAGCGAAAAGATTTGCGATACAAAAGTTCTCTCCTTTGTTTTCCCAACGACTTTCCCTCTCGTCTTTTCTCAAAAATGGGAAGGAGGCGAACGAGTGAAGCTGGGAAAGCGCAACAGATTGACTTCTTTCTTCTTTTGAAGAAGGGGACGACACAACAATACTAACTTTCGCTTATGGAGAATGAAGAAGCTCTTTTGTGTGTCGTAGTTACTTGAGAGATGTAAATTGTCCATCCATGCGCTCCCTCCATTAGAAATGTCCTCCGTCCGAGTGACTCAAAGTGGTGAAAGTAGATAAGTGAACGTGAGGAATAAGAAAACTCATCCTCAGTCAGGCCAGCTTCCTCATTTTCACTTCCTCCTTCTTTTTCCGAACGACCATTTTATGCACTGACGGAATGAGAGGATGAATATGTAAACAGATCTCTTCACGGTGACATCTGTTTCCTGATCCTCTTTTCCGGAAAATAAAAATCAGAAAAAAACACAATCGAGATTTACGACGCTATAAATATGGCGAGGTTGAAATTGAGAAAGTTGAGATCTTCTGTCACACCCACCCATAAGTCATCACCACCGCACGATATCATGTCATCATATTTTTAGATTGGAATGCATACAAACAAAAAAAAATCTCTAGAGTATCATCTGAATTTCAATCAAAAACGAATATTGACCAAAGTAAAAATAAACATGAGCACGGGAGATGAAACCTATCGGCGTATCTAAAAAAAATATGTAGAAGCAGCATCCGACACAAAGTTGTCGTGTAGTCGAGAAATTCAAACAAGAAAAAGAAAAAAAGTTTCACTACAGTTTGACATTTTCCATCAAGTTATTTGTTCCTCCAGAAAAGCAATAATAGGAGTAGAGAGCCGAAAAGAATACACAATACATATACAAATGGTCACGACATGACGGTGACGACCGTCATGGATAGCATAATATAGTGCACCCTTGACGCTTGGCGAGAGAATGACATCATCATTACGTGGTATTTGCTATGTGTATGGGGAGTGTGACGCAATGAAAAGCAATTTGAGAATAGATGGGACCAGACAGGAAGGAGGATTATTTTACAAAGAACTACATAGTTTACTCTCTTTGTTTCATGGAAAATTTGTAATTCTGTTTCCGGGAAAAGATAAATAAATCGGCTTTGAAGAATTAGAATCATTCGAAGGCAAAGGAATAATAGTGAGTGAATGACAAACAAGGCCAACGCAGTGGCTTTCAGATCGATTATAACTAAAACAAAGGACAATAAAAACAGTTTGAAACAGGTTCCCTACGTTCGAATAAATACAGTCTTGCCTAAAAGTAAAATTTGGAACCATATTCTTAGTTACTATAAATACTGATAAACATAGGTTCCGCTCGTACATATATGCCAACATTTAGACAACTTTTTTAGTTTTGAGCTCGACCTGAAAACGCTACTTGCGCGTGTCTCGAGCTACACGATGACGGGTATGTGCAGATCCAGTAGCTCAAAAGATACTTTTTTGCAACAATATCAAATTCGAATCCAACGGTGGTCAAGTCACTCACAAAAGCTGGAGAAAGTATAGGAATTTTGTTCTCTTGAGCAAAGGTGATCCGTTTACTGGTCATGGATTCCACTTCGGCTAATAATAGAAAAGTCGTACCTAGTCAAACCTCAGCTATATAATGTATTTTGTAGGGTTATGTCGGGGTATACCTTGTGTTGCAAATATTGCAGATAATCCAACTCCCAAACGAGTCACCACTTTTCCTCCAAACTGTTCAATTTTGGTTCTTACTTCACCAATCTGGGCAAGTGTCAAGGTGTCCGAGATTAAGAACTTGAGATTGAGCAAGGGCAACTTGTCCATTTTTGGAAGACACAACCTGCAAAATAAATTTTACAAAATGCATAAATGAACATCTTATGCAAAAAGTGTTAAAGATGACCGTGTCGCTTTAGCGTCTCGTAAATATGTTCAAACATTTTCTACAGGTCAACCACTTACGCATTAATATTTTCCTGCTCCGGAAGATTTTCTGGTTCCTGAAGGCTTGGTAATTTGCTGACAAGCATTTCCAAATCTTCCTTTTTCAGCCACGAAATTCCGCTAATGCTGTTCGCGTTATTGTAAAACCGTAAGTTAAGACGATTTGCAGTAAAACAATCAACATGGTGCCAACGATCCTACGGGGTTCAGTAAAGCAAATACAGAAATCAGTGTAAAGATTCAGTAATTACGAATAATTGTTTAATTGCAATTAACTATACTTATATTTATGCTTACCAAACATCCCATTGGAAGGCGTTTTGCTCTCTGCGATGTGTAATCCTTTTGTGAAATGCGAACTTCGTCTTTTACGATCCGTCCCTCACAAGAGATGCAGTGGCTCTTATTAGATTTTGCATATTCGACACTAAATTCCCCAGAATTCTCAATCACTTCCCTTTCCACGGGTCCTGCAGTAACAGTTTCTGGAATTTGACCACCTATTAAATTAAATAATATTCTAATCTAATATCCATTTACAACATACATAAATACATACAATAAGGGCAATAGTTTCAGAATTTTGTAGAAATAAAAAAGTTTTCTCACCAAAACATTTTGCGAGGAGTTGTTGGTCTTCTGATTTCAACTCATCAAACTTTCCAATCTCAGCTTGAGTAACATTTTTATGCTTCTTGAAGAAACAGGAGACATGGAACCAATGAGCATCCATTCCGCTGTGACGACTAGCCTGAACCAATATGAAGTTAAATATAATTTAATTCAAATGGTATTTTAATAATGGTGTTTTAATTCAAAATTTTGCATTAACAATAAATGACTATTATAAGAACTTATTGTTAGTTATAATAAAAATGCGATTTCAATTTTAAAACTATTTACCTGGACCAAGTTGGCCAGTCGAAGTGTACCCTTTGTAATTGGACCGTGACATCCACGACATACAGAACGACCTTGAATTACAAATTGTAAATAATTATAGTTGGAAGAATATGTACTGCAAAAACAAAACTTCCATTGGTTTATTACCACTTTTCGCATATTCCGTAAGGAATCCCATCTTGCGCAGAAATGGATTGCTAAAAATGACTCTGCAATTAAATGCTTTTTAGTTAATAATGCTAAAATTTGGATGAATTAAAATTAAGAAATTAAAAATTGAAACGCAAAGAATTTGAGAAAGTGGAAGGAGTGTGGCAAGGGCGAAGGAAGGGAACGAACTAACGGCCAAGCTGAAGGGCAGGGCAAAAGTAAGACGCGAGTGAAAATTTGTGAAAAGCGGAGCAAAGGTCAATCACCGCCGCCATTCTTCTCAAACTCTGGATTCTGATTCTTATTAAAGTTTCGAATTATGTCACCACACTTTAATTTTAACTTTAAGGTCATCCTCATATTACGCAATATTTAATATTTAAAGACTACGTGTGGAAATGGATATTAGCATGATTTCGTAAGCATACATATGTCCTTGTTGGTCAATGAATTAAATATAATTATGAATTTTAAAATTTGAATCATTCTGTAGACATTGGGAAACAACGAGGTAAAATCACTGACCCATATCGTCATTATGATACGCAAAACTTAAAAAGTTACATTGATATCTATTTTACCTGTATTCTATTCTGGTGTGTAAAATAGATGCATCATGCATGTATGCGGCTCCATGCCATTAAATGGAATGCTTCACCTTGAGAAATCCAATTCAGTTTTTCCTATCTTTTTTTCTTCTTGAGCTGTCCTACTAAACTATATAGCACTACTTATGTGCTAACGTACTTACTTGACTACTAGCAATTTATTTGGCATAACCCAGCTGCTGTCATGCTGGAAAATTTGCACTCATTTCACTCCATTATACAAAATGTGAAGGAAACTAATTAAAAGGTCATCCCCTCTTTCTAAATGGCCACTCTGTTTAAAGAGGTGAAAAATTTCCTCGGAATTTTGGCCCGGCATATTTTTGACCACATCCAAGATAACTTTCAGATTGAGTCGGTAGTTTACTTTGCATGTAGAGTGGCCACCTGGCCGTGTCGGCTATTTCGTCGAATTGTGACCAAGTGTAAACGGTGTTTCGACTGTTTTTGTGATTTTCTGGTGGACATTTTCTACAAATGTGTACATCTCGCCATAGCCATTCTACTACTGGCATTATTCCCGATTCTATTCCTCTTTATCATGCCCTTGTACGCGAGACGGTTTGTTTGCAGATTTCAAGCCTCGTAAACCAAATTATAAACCAAATTGCTCAAATACAATGACAGGTAATAAAAATAGTCCTGCCAAAGACTGTAAATTTTTTAATTCTTTGCCATCAGTAATCGTATTTCGAATTTCAGAAGGAATCTGCTCTAATCAGGCGAGCTTTGATTATCAGTCATCAATTGATGGAAGGATACTTAGAAGGATGACCGGGACCTAAAAATTCCTGAAATTATAGTACAGATATTACACTGCAGTATTGTTGGACGATTTATTATTTTTTATAAAATATTGCCTTCACGATATTATTATGTAATACAGACGAGGAGACAAATAATTCTCTCCAGAAAAATTAGAATAGACGAATGACATGATGATAATATACGATAATTAATAATAAAGCCGGCACTTTAGTCATATTGATTAAAATTATGAGACTAGCAAGAATGAAATATTGATTTGATGAGTTTAAACTCATCTCATCTTCCCATCGAACCCATTTAAAAAAGCAACATCATAAGACTAGATCTTCTCTTCTTTGATGTACATAACTCCTGTCTTTCAATCTCATTTCATCTGCAAATAGAAGCCTCCTCTCGTCGTCATCATCATCATCAATTCCTTGATATTGTTCCTTCCCTATTGTATCGTCGTCCTCATGTACACATAAATAAATCCGTCACGGGAATAAACTGGGAAGAAGAAGAACAGGACATTATTGCAAGTCAACCTGGTAAAAGCAATCTTTTAATCTCTCTCTCATGTCATCTTACCACTGTGTTGCTGGTTTCTTGTTCCTTGTGGTAAGATCCTGTCCATTGTTGGGGTTATTCACTTTCCTTATAATGTTCCCACTATCCGGTGAATTTGTAGTGCAAATGGTAGGCATATAGTGGTGGATGCCTAGTAAAAAAGGGTGAAGTTCCATTCCGCGGACCTGTGTGTGTTCAACAGGTGAGCTTTATTACACGGTCCTCGTACGTACGTCTTTTTACCTGTACGTCGAGCATCATAAGGACATACGCTTTCATTCTCTAGCATTCAAAGGTATTCACATTTTTTGTGCCTACAAATCCACTACTGGTCCCCCTCTCACTCACTCTCATTGTTACGTGTTGCTTTAAAAAGCTCAACTTTTTACCAGCCCAAACCTGAAGCAGCTTCATGTCCATTGGATTATTGGATTCGAGTATGTGTGTATTTTCGAACATTGAGCAGATAGAAATCTTCCAAGTTGACGCTATTATTTTATTCGTTGTCCGATCCCTTTCTTTCAGGGAATGGACCCATCATCTTCTTTATTATTATTTTCTTGGTCTTCTTGTGAGAATCAAAATTATCAGCACCATTGCAAACTCCTTTGCTACGACTTACGACAAACAAACATCAGTACCAACAAGAAGTGTGTAACCGCAAGTTCATTCTCTCATAATAAGATTCTAATCCCCAGTTGAATGGAAAGTGAGTGAGTGAAGCCCTTCCGTAAAACTAACAACAATCAGACTTGTTGTCTTGTCAAGTCAAGTGCCTGTGGTGGGGATTGGATGAAGAAAAGTTGAGCTAACGAAGCACCGCAATTTGCATTTATTATCACGGGCTCGTCATCTTCTTCTTGGCAGTACTCGCAACAGCAGCAGCAGGAGTAGAAAATTATCAAGTAGAATGGTTCAACGACGAGTCGAATATTGTATTTCAGTGGATGTGGACGAAGACGCAAAAATTCCGATCTGAAAGGGATTTGAAAAAGGCTTGGTTGAGGAATTTCACGTTGGACTTTTAATGTTCATAGAGCGGATTATTAAGCTATTAACAAGAATTCTGCAGTGTTTGGTGTTTTAGCAGTGAAGAAGAAGAAGAAGACGAGTTAAGTGTGGACTGCCCACCTGTGGCGTTGGTTCAAATAAAATATCCTCGTATTCAAAAGACTTTTGAATCAATTCAATAGAAGCATAAATTTTGCCTTGAAAGCAGTACAAACCGAGTTTTGTTTTATACACCGGTATTTAATTCTCATTGCCTTGTTAAAGTTTGGGTGGCATCAGAGTCGGCGTCGCAGAATTGGCATCTTTCTAGTAATAATAAGAAACGAGAAATACATTTCTGCAGATGAAGAGTGTACAAGACACAGATATTAAATCTTAAGAAATAATTGAAAATATTTTAAAGTTCTCAACTATACTGTTTCAACATTCGCTATTCAGAGATTCTGCGAGTCGTTGGTTGGGAAATACGCTACGGGATAGAAGAAACTGTATGCAACTGTTGCACCAAAAATTTAACCGTGTTTCCTTCAGTTTCACCTAAAATCCAATCATCTCACAAGGATAAAAGTCAGTGTTGCAAAAGCATGAGGAACGTGATGGTGTGATATTGTGCTGAATCCGGCCTGGCAAAATCATTAATCAGTCAATTCATTGAAATCATCAGAAAAATATTATCCTCAACAAAGTGCGACTCTAATCTGGCGAGAGTGCAAACAGGAAATATTGTAATTAGACCGCTAACGAGTACACGAAAGTGTATTATAAATAATGACGCCGCAGCAGTGGTTGTAAAGTCTTCAGGTGAGAAATATATATTGGAAGCTTCTTCGAACTTTCGTGACTAATGTAAGTGCTCAAATATTTGCACATAGAGGAAAGAAACGTCTAATTAATTCCTAACGGTGCTCGATATTGCTGCTAATAATTTTTGGTCGGTGGTGAGACATGGTTGGTGTTCAATCATTAAGAAGCGAGACAAGTTCTTTCAGTTTTTGCATCATATTACTTAAAAAATCTGTAAAGTTCAAAAGTTGTCTCTCTCGATTATAAGAAGTCAAGTTCTCTGAAACTTTTTGACCATTTTTCCCATTCTTCACGAGACGCACCTCTAAACCGGTTGGATTATTATATCCTTCAAAATCACGGATTTTAAGCCGGCGAGGCGACACAGTCATCATCTCAATACATAAATCTTTCTCTCCGGCTTTAATCGTCTCCAACTTTGCCTGTGATCAGTGGACTTGCAAAGAAAAGTAATCTTAAGTCAAGAGATTTTGGACAAAACAATAAAAACTCTTTACACATTTAGACATGTGCACATTGTATTTGTACCACTGCGAGATGGAATTAAGAGTCGAAATCAGCCAGCATGACATTCATCACAATCTCATTATTGCAATTACATCCATTTTACATACATCCTTATGTATCCTGATTTAACCCTGAGCTTTGTGTACGCAGAAATAGTCCACGGTTCGTGTAGGCAGACACGAATTTATTAGCCAAGTAGCAGATATTGTTGTCCGACCCCAACAGTTTTTACTTTATCTGTGATGCAATATGTTATGGGTACTCTTCATATCAATGCATTGTTCCGTTCGCATTGGCTGGCGTACGAACACTTCTGGCAAATGAACCCCGTTAAAAAATGATACAGTTATGCCTGACTTTTGTTCCACATTAAAAACGAATTCCTCATCCCACAACTGTCCACTCCCCAGTTGAGAGCATTATTATTACGTAGCGTTTAATATTGAAATGAGATTTGGGCTTTCTTTGCCCGGATACGTATGTAAGTAGTACATGTGTGTGTGTGTATTATAGGATTTCATGGTGTGGGTGTCATTGACTTTGACTGACTGATGATGGGAATGCATCTGTATTACGACACAACAGACACAACATTAACTGTCATGTCATTCATGGGATCATCATCATCGAATTAGAATTACTACGAGAGAAGTAGCACTGACTCCTATAAATAAATACGTATGCTAAAATCACACACCAACGACCAACAATGGGCCAGTCTCCACACGTATATTAAGTATGACGCCATGATTGTTGTTGTGTGGAGCCATTTCAATCCATTTCTGCAGTCTTAATAAAGAATGTATGTACATAATTGCATTGTTGTCTGCATGGCGAAAAGACTAATCTTTATTATAGAGGAGAATTCTTTATTTTAATAGTGCAATCTTTAAAAAAGAAGAATGGTACAGTTCTGCTTCTGTTTAATACACGTTCACAGGTGACTTAATCCAACGAGGGCTGCTCTCCATGCAATTTAATTGAATGAGACGACGTCCGAGAATCATTATCCACGCTGCGACCAACCCAACCCAACAATAATTAATGAAGACAATGCAATGGACGAGAATCATTAAATTGTTGTTCAGGGTGTGTTCCAGTGAAACACGAGGAAATTGACCGGTAACAATTGTGTACATTCTAAAAAATCCAAGGATCAAGAAACATTTTCATCCCGTTGAGAAACAAAGTTACAATAATGTCGACAATAATCGGTGGTGGGGGTGGAATCCAGTCGGATTATGTGCTGGAAATAAGCAACTTATACTTCACTGGCCATGTGAGCACTTACATAAAATAGTTGTCAACTGAACGTGGGTAAATTAGTGTCAATTCATTTCCAGATTGAACCACAAACGTGGTTGAAACAAATTACTGGAACAACCCGGACGGGACTTATTCTTCGCGATGTCTCTCTGGAAGTTGGATCTTCCAATATTATGGCCATTTTAGGTTCAAAAGGTATCACAATTGGTTCTAATACATAGGACAAATTCAGTGGTTTTACAAAAAATAAATAGAAAAATGTAATGTTTTTTGCAGGAAGTGGGAAGAAAGCTTTACTAGATATTATTGCTTGTCGTGCCAATAACGGGTGGGTGACCTCGACTTCACTCTTACAGTCATCGATATAAAACTAAAATTACGTTAATTTGATGCCACAGGTCCAAGAAAGGATACGTTCTGCTCAATGGAGTCAATATGAATCGAAGACTATTTCACGTGCGTACCTACCTATATTTAACTGCATCAACTTTCCACCATGATCTGACCAAAGTTACAACAAAATGTCGTTAATTTTGCTAATTACAGTCGACGTGTAGCTACATCACTGGACAAACGGACAAGTTTTTAATGCCTGGGCTGACGGTGCATCAGACGTTGCATCACGAGGCATGTCTCACTCTAAAAGTTCCTTCTTCCATGAGAAAGATACGCGTCCGTCAGATTTTGTCCGATGTTGCGCTCACCCAACTCGCCGGATCCACGGTGGACATGTTGACCCCGTAAGAAACTAATCAAAAAGGATGAAAACTTGTTGCGAATGGTAGCGTAAATGATGTATCGTTTACTCTTAGCTCTGAAAAGAGGAGGTTGGCCATCGGTCTGCACCTCATCAAGGATCCAGGTATTATTACATGGGAATCGAGATAAAAACCTTAAAACTCAAGATGACTTCTACAGAAGTATTTTACTTTTTGTAGTGGTCTTACTGTGTGACGAACCAGCTTGGGGCCTAGATCCTTTGAATACGTACTTTATCATATCAATTTTATCCAATTACACGAAAAAGTATGGCCGAATCGTCATCCTTACCATGGAGAAACCAAGGTCGGATATTTTCCCGTTCTTGGACAGGTAAAATTATTCTGTTCTGTTAATAATAATTTATGTACAAGCAAGTTTTTTTGCAACAACGTATTTTCTTATTCACAGAGTGACCTATTTATGTTTGGGGGACGTCGTATATTCTGGAAATACGAGACAAATGTTAGACTACTTCCGTAATATTGGGTTTCCTTGTCCCGAGGTGCGTGTATTTAAAAAAAATGTGGAATGAAATTATATTTGTAGACTTGCTCAAGAATAAAATATTTTTCATGTATTCTTACAGATCGAGAATGCCTTAATCTATTACTTGTGCCTCGCCACGGTGGATCGTCGATCGCATGAAAAATTTATCGAGTCCAGCAATCAAATAGGACTTCTGGTGGACAAGTTCAAGCTGGAGGGCAACTCGTTCCTGCGACTGAAAGGGGGCGGAGGCTCGCTGGATGACCAGATGAGCAGTACGCGTGGCATGGGCACGTCCGTCACTCCACTCCATGCATTCGGAAGACCTTCCGTTTTCGGAAAGATGGCCACACTCATGATGTAAACTAAACCTAAACCTAAAGCTGAATTGCACATTGCCTTAAAGACTTACAACGAACGTACATACGTATTTTTTCAGGCGAAATTATTCCAACACATTTTTGTTCAGCATGCAAGGACTTCACAACGTATTTTTTCAGCTATTTTTTCTACCTTTTCTATTCTTCCTCATGTGGATCTTCTACTTTGGAAAGGTAAACAATTCAACTTGCAGCGAGGGCAAAAATTCTCGAATCGTAAGTCGCATAAAGAGTTAAAATTTGACATCGTGTTTCACTCGTAGAACGACGAAACCCAAGCCATATTTGTCACTTATAACGGGCTCGTCCTAAATATTCTGTGTATTACCTACTTCGCCGCGGTGTGGTCGACATTGTTAACTTGTGAGTGGAAAGGCGTCTTCTATTGTACACTGCATAAGCAAGTAGATATACATACGTGTGGAATTCAAAATTGTGAATTGTATTACTAGTTGGACCCTTCCGAAAAATGTATTATCAAGAAGCCCGAAACGGGATCTATTCGGGTCCCCTTTTCATCACTGCTCACACAATATCCTCCGCCCCCTACGACGTCATCACTTGCTTGATCGGATCAAGAATAGTTTTCGAGTAAGTCGCAGACAGTAGTTCAATCCCACAGTTTACCCATGGCGATTTCTACCATGTGGCTCTTTTGTGCTCCCCACAGGTTGACGGGGCTCTCATCCACGTCGGACTGGCTCCTCCTCTTCCTCGTCCTCCTCGCCTGCTACACTATGGCGAAGCAACAAACGTTCGCTTCCATGCTGACCTTAAAGAACAAATTCTACGCGGTGGCGTTCCTCTCTGCGGGTCACGCCCTCCAAATAACGCTGGGCTCTTGCACGGTGCGAAGCATGCGAGGTCTCCCCGACTGGCAGTACTACTTGTCCTACATCACCCAGCCCCGCTACGCCTCGTCCTATCTGCAGGAACAGATCTTTCTCGAGTACAAGGATGTGAATCTGCGCTCGGTGGTGGGGTCTCGGGGGAATTGTTTCTCATCCTCGTTTTCCCCCGGGTGTCGCTATCTCAACGGGACACACTACTTGTACGACCGGTACTACACGCACTCGGTGGATCGAGACGATGTCAACACTTATCTCAACTTTGGAATTTGCTGGGCCTTCCCGGCCGTCGTATTCCTATTTTCACTCGTTGTATACGCTTTACCCCTTCCGACCCTGGTCAAACAAAAGTTTAGGGATTGACCAACCAAATTACTGACTAGGAATAACGGACTTGAACTAATCTACATATGTTTAATTTATTATTTACAAAATGACAAAATAATGCAACATGATTGTAATGCAAACTGAAATTAAAAGAATATATAAATATTTATATCATGCCAATCATTTTGTGAACTACGATAGGAATCTCACATTTATTTTCATGAACTTTTAGCAACTATGAATGTATGTATGTATACTGCATGGACAACTAAACAACAAAAATGTTTACAACGGCGATGCTGGTAAAATTGGTTTATGGGCCACAATAAACTATGACGAACCATTTATTTGTAAACTTTTCAGTTGTATTGTATTTGTAGGAGCAAATATTTGAGTTCGTATTGTTCTTTACAAATTAACCATGATTATTATTCCATTATTAATCTTCACCGTTCAACTCCAGTGCAGTTAGGATTGGAAATGAGTGTCACGTAATAAAAAGCACTCACTTACGCCAAGTACTATACCGTATATAGTCTATACATGTATGTATGTACAAAGTGCATACGACATGACACCAGCTATATAGCAGCATTCGTCAGATTTTAATACATTGATCATAAAAGTAGGTGTTCATTTTTAAAGACCAACGAGTGCTCGATAATAAATAACGCACCAATACGGTGTGAATTAAGAATGCATGGGAAATGTGGAGTCTGCTTATCCACCAAAATATTATTCGTGCTAACCTGGACGTCCCTGTGCGAAGGTAAGACGACTGATCTTATTTATAATGAATATTGGGTTGAGATTTGACTATTGCTTTTCAATATAAATTTAGGCACCGCGTTCGTTGATCGCGTATGTACCCTTGCCAAGTCCGAGGGGGAAAAATGTCCTTCCGGGGGTGGCGGCGAGGAAAAGATGTACTACTTCGACTCGACGAAGGAGAAGTGCACCTCCTTCACGTATTTGGGCTGTGCCGGAAATCAGAACAAGTTTGAGGCGTCGGACGATTGTATCGACTCGTGTCAGACGCCGTGGTTCATCAAGAAGAACAAGGAAGAGGACAAGAAGAACCCAGGGGGAGAGGAACCTCACAAAAAGTCGGACTGCTCCCTCCCATACGAAGCGGGACCATGTAAAGGTACGTGTGGAGTCTAAATTTCTAATTGAATATTAGTGACCATTGAAGTCATTATTAGTGGTCAAATATTTCCAGCTCTCATCACCATGTGGTACTACAACTCTGCGCAGGCAGCCTGCGAGGTTTTTGGTTATGGTGGGTGCAACGGGAATGGCAACAAGTTCGACAGCAGATTAGAATGTGAAACCTTCTGTGGAGATAATCCAGAAGTCAAGAAGAAAAGTAGTTAGTGACTGACAAAGCATGATGAGGTCCGTTATGGACGAAAATATTTTCACGTGCAGCTTCAATTTAGGTATTATGAAAACCATATAGCTCAATAAACTCAATAGTTTCGCTGAATTTGGCTGAAATGGATTGTGTCGGTTGCAATTAATGCTTATACGAAGCGAGCATTAAACCTTCTGGACATCACCGATAACGTAGAGCTATAGTTATGTACATAGACACACATGCTACTTTATTTCTTGAACTGATCACATAATCACGCGTTATAATTGCGGGCAACTATAGTAAGTAAATGGAACATCGCAAAAATAGAAAAAACGAGTTAAGCTTAAAAACATGTTTTAAATCTCAACACATCATTAACGGGATTATGGTCATAATACAATAAAAGACAGTTCTCAAGTCGAGAATAGTCCAAAATTACATTTATACAATTAAGTAACTCGTTCATCGTTAGATCAGTGGATTGATTCTCTTCCAACAGTTCTTACGTACTTAGCTGCGTTGTGGGTTCTTAAGAAAAGCTAAAATTAAATTAAAAAGAGAAGTAAATCTGAATTAAACTTTTTACATAACTATTTTTATTATTATTTTGATCAGAGAAAGAGAAGAGAAGTGTTTGGATATTTTAATACGTTTCAAAAATTCTTGTAAAATAGGTATTTTTTCATGCTGATAACAAAAACGGAAATAAATGTTTAAATACAATATGTAAATTATTACTCTGTTCTCAAAATGAGATGAACTCCGCTGTCCGTCTCCACAATGTCCGACATCTCTCCAACTTTGAGTGCGAAAGTTGCATCTTCGAAGGGCTTCTGCATCGCTCCTCGTCCAAAGGGACCCAAATCTCCGCCTCGTTTGGCAGATGAACAGTCGGAATATTTCGTGGCAAGTTCAGCAAAGGAAACGTCCCCGCTTTTGATGGAATCTCGATATCCGGCCAAAATGTCGAGTGCTTCCTCCTTGGTTCGAGTAATGTTATCATCCCGCCAGGACGAGGGTCGTCGAGAATCGCGATGTTTGACGAGAATGTGGCTCGCTTGGATGGTTTGAGGCCCACCACCTGATGACCGTTCCGCCGGCTTCGTGGGGCAGTGCCACTGGCTCTCTTTTGTGAACAGGTTCAGATAGTAGGCTTGGCCTGGAAGATGAAAAAATAAATAAATATTTGGCTTATTGTCATAAAATTCGAGTCATATCCAGTCAAAAGTTTCAAGTACAAGAACATAGAAGAACAACAACATCAACAATGAGCAATTGTTGCTGGCAAAATATGTCACTAACTGCATATTTATATTCTCATCCGTGGTTAGCAAAATATAATAAGTATCCGACGTAAGCAGTATTTAATGGGAATTCTTACCCATTGTTCGTCATTATGTAACTTTTATATTTGTATTTTATGATTAACCAATGTCCCTCAACCTACGGAAACTGCTCCGCAGAACGAGTTTTTTTCTTCATCACTTTCTTTCTACAATTTGATCCTAGTTGTCTCAAAAAATTATTTTAAAATGTTTCTTCGACAAACCAAATTTTTTCCGGTTTTAGTCGTTCTGCTTTTCTTTACTCTCCTCGTGTCGACAACGGTAGGAACCGTAAATTAAAAATAAGCATTATTATTAATAGCTACGAGTAAATTGTATTTATTAATGTGAGCGCAGGTTGGTCACTACGTGGAGAATAATTTTCTGGGACCTACCTGTCAATCAAATATCGTGGAGTACTCGAGCATCCCAGACTACGACCAATTCGTCAAGGAATGCGATCATGAAGTGAAACATGTAAGAAATTTTCACACACTAACTGAATCTGATTTTGAATTATAATTATAATGGACTTTTGTTTCAAAATAGTGCCGTCCGCTCTGCATCATGTCCAAATTAGGAATGGTAATTTTGTAAACATGAATTTTTTTATGCAAATCAACCCACCAACGTAATGAATTATGTGTTCAGATGAATACGGAAGGCTATTTTCTACCTGGTCATTCAAAATCCGTCCTACAAAGCATTCTGCCCCCGGTGCAGAACAGATTCAGGGCTACGGAGCTTACGGGCGCATACGAGTCTTGCTCGCTCTCCTTCAATTTCAGTACGTCCTCAGTCTCACAACGCTTTAACATTTTTTTAAGTTTAAAAATACCTTGTTTTAAGATGACGACCTCGGGGTGACGGAGGGATGTGCGAGTTATGCCCCCTTATTCGACTGTTTTCGGAAATCTACCATTATGGTCGTACTATTATATGCATTCGGAGGAATTATGTATCGTTAAATTAAAAATTGAATGTGCGTAAATTCAGATTTGTGAGGGGATCAAAGCACCCGAGATAACATCCGAGATGGGTAACGCGGCAGACCCTTGGCCAGCTATTTTCATGAAACCAGGAGACACGGAAACCTCCCACAAATCAAATACCCCTGCACCCTTCGTCCCAGTCGCAGCAGCTGCATCGCCAAATCAAAATCCACCGGAAAATAAAAATCCTCAAAATCCATCACAGAATCAAACCCCTCAAACTCAGAACCAACAGCAGAACCAGGAAAAAGTTCCTCCTCCTCCTCCTTCAACGCCACAATCACCGACCTCTGGGGTGGGAAATTATGGTCAAATCGGGCCACCACAAAATCAGAATCAACAGCCAAACCAACAGCAGAAACTTGTTCCTACTCCACCCGTACAACAACAAATGATGGGTGGGTCACCACCAAACCCTGCGATGGGAAATTATGCTCAAATTGGGCCAACACAAAATCAGCAAATCGGCCAAACTCCAAAGAATTATGGTCAGCCTGCTCTGCCAACCTCCTCTGCGAATGCTGCCACGGGACAGTATCGCCAACCCCAATTTAACAATAACAATTATGTCCCTCAAACTTTTTACGGGCAACAAACGAAACAGCCACCTACTCAGTACGGTCAACTATCGAACCCTCCTCAACAATATTATGGGCAAATTCAAACTAATCCTGGCCAACCACCACCACCACCACAACCCCAGCAGCAACAATTTCGTCCACCAAATAACTATAATAATGATCCCAGACTGCAACCGTACAACGCCAACAACGTTTATAATCCCAATCCTCCATCGCAGCAGTTCAACAATTTTAATAGCAGTCCTTATCGAGGAGGAGGAGGTAGAATTGCAGAACAACCTCAACAGCAATTCCAATACCCACCACAACAACGCCCACCCGGGTATCAGGGTAGTGGAACATACTCTCCGCAGCAACTCCCCCCCTCGACCGGAGGTCAAGCTGGCTACTACAACCCAGGCGGGTACGGAGCAATTAAACCAGTCCCCCCACCCCCACAACAATCGTACGCTGCGCCACCACAACAACCTCAAAGACCTCAACAAGTGCAACAACCACAACAATCCGGTCCCATCAACTACATCCCTAATTACTCTGCCGCTGCCCCCACAGCCGGAACTCAGACCGGTTTGTACAATCAGCAGATGACTAGAAACTAAATTAACCCTACAAACTTGAAAGTTTATCAGAGACGGAACCGAATTACAAGAACAGACACGTTACCTAAACAAAATTTGTATAATTGCGCAGGTCACCATTCGCCTTTAGTCTTGATATGTACCAAAATAAACACGGTCCATTGAAATAGCATGAGTTTTAGTAAGTTAAATTAATTGCATGCAGAAGAGCAAAAAAAGAAGCTTATTAACTTGTAAGCTTTATTAATTAAAAGATGATGTAAACATTTACCACTTGACCGGCTGACTCGTTTTTCCCATCCGTCTGGAATAACTTCTTGGTCAGACATTTCGCAAGTTTTTTGAGCGGTGAGTGGGTGTGGTGGGTGCAATTGAGTTTCGAAAACCGGTGGAAACAATTACACGGCACATACGAAGTTGATCTTCGTGACACGGTTTCTCTCTTAAAAAACCACCACCACCGCAGCACCGGAAGAACAGGCTCACTTTCCCCAGTCAATTTTGCCTACCTGCAGATCTGCACGACCTCGCTAAATTGTATCTTGTAAATTCTTCAGGGTTGGCCAAGATACTTTGTTTCAAAGATACAAGATACAAGATACAAAATATTTTAACGAAACCTTAAGATACAAGATACTAAATACAAATAATTAGAGTTACACAAGATACAAGATACAAGATAGATTTTATCTGCTGTGATCCCAGATACAAGATACAAGATATTTATTTGAAATAATTTTTTCAAGATACAAGATAAATTATTCGGAGCTTGCAAAAAAACATGAAATAACCAAGCACCACTTGATTTTTTGTATTGTAGCCGAGTAACTTGTTAATATGATAGTATAGACTCATAGCTTGCATTGTAATTTATAATGCAAGTCCTCACCCTCTGTTTACAATTTATAAACAAATATGAGGATTTCATCATTGGTGACCCATACTGATTTTTTAAAATTATTCTATCGAGCTGAAATTATCATTACCAGTATATTCCGTTGAAATTTAGAATAATTGCTCTAATGGTGGTACAAATTAGGAATGTAATGCAAATTGCAAAATTTGCCAACGTGCGAGGGTTAATTTACTGTGGATGAATAAATATTACGACGTTATACAACAGAACCTTGCATCCGGCTCGGCAAAGCTGTACACTGAGGTTTTTAAATCTTCATAATTCCAAGTCTTAATACTACCAAATATGCAAGTTTCCCGATTTTTCACTAAAAAAGTATCTTGTATCTTGACTAGTATTTCAAATAAAATTTGGTTGAAATAAATTCTCCAGATACAAGATACAAAATACTTTTGAGAAACGTTCAGATACAAGATAAAAGATAAGATAAACTCTGTTACACAAGATACAAGATATATCTTGTATCTTGTTAAATTATCTTGGCCAACCCTGAAATTCTTGTATTGTATCATTTGTATCGCTAAATTGTGTATTTCTCCCATTTCCGATCCTATTCGGAGTAAAACTACTAGAAAATTCTAAATTAAGCAACAACTAAATTATCAATCACGGCTAAGCGCTAAGGATATTAGTCGGGACGGATTTCGTTACAATTAGATTGGTAAACGATTGAGCGAGCTTGTACAATAAATTAATAGTCGCAGTCGCTTATTTTTTTTGTTCGTCGAAATTTTTGTATCCCTTTTTTCCACCAGGGGTTAAAACTTTTAATTTGAATTGAAAGTATCATCTATTTCAAAATTTGTATCTCAAGTTATTTTAACCTCTATTGCAGTGTGGTTGGGTTGTTCATGACGCATCATCCAACGTCGAAATGTCAAGGACAAGTCATGCATAGGATCAGTTTGCAATGCTCATTCGTTGGCAAAGTAAAGAACTACTGAGGGCAATATAATAGAGCCTACGGACTAATGATGTCGCCTCCTGAGCGACGTGTGCGTACTAGTCCGACCCCCGTCATTAGAAGCTCCTCCCCCACGTCCTCGTTGACCAACTTGACGACCTCTTCCTCACATGCATCGACCTCAAATTCTACTCTCACCTTGACTGAGGTTAGTAAACGAGCCAGCAAAATTTATAACTCATTCAGTATTTATTCTGGATTGATGAAAATATTATTATTTACTTGCCCTTACAGACAGAGCCACCAAGACTCCATGAGCCTGCCCCCTCCGTTAGATTAGTTTTAAAGAAGCCCAAAAACTCTAAAAAAGTCAACTGGACCACAGAGACGGTTGATAATGAGCACATGGATAAGCGAAAATCAAAATGTGAGAATATGATGCTCGTAATATTTCACTCATAATATGAACCTCATAATAATACCTAATTAAATTGTTCGTCAGGTTGTTGCATCTACAAGAAACCGCACGTCTTTGGCGAATCTTCCTCCGAGTCAGAGGAGGACGAGTGTGAGAATTGTTATGGTCATTGCGAGTTGCGGAAACCTCCTCCTCCTCCACCCCCATCCGTTCCTCCCGTCTCATAGCCCTCCCGGACCCCATCCCCAGTGGACATACTAACATGAGTTGGATGCCGATTGTAAAAGTAATTTTGCAGTTGCGCACATATTCTTTCTTTAAAACTATTATCGATTGCCTAAATTTCGTAAACTTCTCGCTATCGTATACAGACTTTTAAATTTGCGCTTTGTCACGCCTTTCCTTGCACATCACAGTGGTGCAAGAACGAAAGAGACGAAGGAAAAATTAGATTAATGTTAGCTGATATGTAAATCGGTGTTACGGTCGGATACTAAAAGTTTCTACCGACTAGCTCGCATTCACGAGTAACAAATTTAATAAAGTAACATTAAATAATAAAATTGATGGTTTCGGTCTCTATTCTTGACGCATTATGTATATAATACAAATATGCAAATATGTATGTAACTGACAGTTGTGTAAGTATGCATTTTTAGTATCTTTATTATTTTCCTCTGATTTATTCAGCAACACAACAATTTACATATTATTAAAGCTCTAAAAGATCGATGATTTCGATTTTCAGTATGTAATTAATTATTAATTCTTCTGTTTCCGGGCACTTTTGGACTTTCTTAGCATTTCAAATAATAATCCGAGTTTTATACAAAATAGAAATGGGCGCAAGCCACTCATTCACTCGCTCATCGACACATGCATAATATATAATTTAGATAATTCCGTGCGGCTCAATTCGTATATCCGTCCTTGTTAAAGCTTTCGATTTACAGGATTATCCGTTCTGGACGGCTTAAATTACTAACTACCGGTTACTAACTGATATTAGTAAAATCACACTCTCAGCACACATATCAAATAAGTACGCTTGTGAACTGAATAAGAAACCGAAACTGTCGGCTTGGTATTAAGGAATAATTAGTGAGAGTATTAGTAGCACCACAGTTATAATAAATTCACTGGATTATTTCATATAAAAATGTTACGAGTAAAAAATAACACGAGTTAAGCACGCACTGCATCCGACTAGACCAAAACGGAGATGAAATTGGACTCGAATATGAGCGAGCTTAAACACCTAAAGTAATATTAGTGAGCTAATCACGACACCTTGGTAGAAACTCGCCCTTTTCTTAAATCGTATAGCGTTGTCCCTTTTTTCATTGTGGGGACATCTAGTCCGAGGCGCCGACATTGTGCCCGTGATCTCCAAATCTGTACCAAAAAAAAGTCGATAAATAATTATCCGTCAATGAATAAATGACTATTGTTTAGTGAGAATTGTACAATGATTCTGTCGAGTTTCAATTTCTTATCTCGGTCTGACTCTTCTGAGTTTTCAAGTATCTTACGTTTGACGCAATACATATATGTATGTAACTAAATTAATCATGAGTGCTAAGAAAGAGTATTTATAAGAAACCTGACTTGAAGTAACTTTAAACCCATTGTGCATTCGACCCCACTCTACCTGATTATTTCCCAACTCAATTGCAAATATACATCATAATCTCTCATCAAACTATTCAACAATGTTAGGAAATAACACCCCTCAAAACTGTTTCACTCACTTTAATGGTATTATCATCCGACACAGTGACGAGCATATGAGAATTCATAGGATTGAAGGCCACAGAGTTAACGACATCGTTGTGTGGGAGTTTAATCAGAGAGATTCCGTAATGCCTGTCCCAAACGTAGCCGTGCTTGTCTTCCGCTCCACTCGCCACAAACTTGTCACACGTGTCCAAAAATATAAAGAAACATTCCTCGTTCGGAGTGTAGGCTCGATGTGCTTGACGCATCCTCCCCACTTGGCTGTGTAAGTGGAAAATTTATCAGTTCGAAATTTGGTGCCTAATGACCAGTGTAAAAATACTAATTATTTTATTATTAGCAATCTCACGTTATCGTTTTCAAGTCAATGACATGAATGTCAATTTCGCTCGCAATGGGAGGAGGGTCCAGAGGATTGGAAATTGTGTAGCCTTCCGGCCATGGACGACTATTTACATAAAGGTAGCGATGGTCAGGTGAGAGTGCCATTCCAATAATGTGACCGTGTAAATCAACAATGTGGTCGACCTAAATTCAATATTGACTATTTGAAAAGAAAACAAAAACAGCTTTTAAATTCATCGTTGGCACCTTATCAAATCTATCAGCAACAGCTTCATAATTTGCCCAGTTAATGTCTGGTTCATCCACGCCGTCCAATTCCATCTGCCTCCTCCTCTTGTACTCTTCAATCCTCTCTCTCACGCTAGGACCAGGATCAATTCTGCCGTTAAAGGTCATTGGCTTTATTCTCTTAAAACCAATCCTGTGAGGGGTGTAAGTTTCAGAGCTACACGTGAAAATTAAGAGCTTTTCGCGACCGTCCAAAATATAATCTTCTTCTACCGAAGCTGTCAATATACAAAAAAAATGTGTAAGCAATTAATGGGTGAGCTGTATAGATCAAATTGTTAAATAATCGTAAAATAACCATCCTGATTACCTCCCCTCCTGTTTTTATCCTCATCTGGACTAGTAGAAGAAGATGTTGCGTCATCCTCCACAGCGTCCATGTCATCACTGTAAAGTAAGTCTTCCATGGATGAAGAAGTCGTACTCGTTCCTCCTCGACCACCTCTCATTATTCCACCAGACAAACTTTCATCTACGCCAGGCGTCTCATTTCGGTAGGAATATGGTCTCGTGTTCCTGAATTCTTCCGAGTAATCAATATTTGCAATGTTATCCCGATGTTGCCAATTTGGATCCTGCAACCCTGCTGCTGGACCTTGATGTTCTTGCGAATTAATTTGGAACAGATTTTGACGTTCTGTTTGAAGACTGGAGAGTGGGTTTCCAGTTCTGGTATCTTTGGAACAAGACGGAGATTCTGAAGGTTTCCTGTCCTTTGGCATATTTTTGTCCTGCGGCGAGGAGTTTCCATCAACTTCTGGACCATCCACACAATTAGCGATCATTAACGATCGGACCGACGAGGCTTTTGGATTATAGAAAGTGTACAGCTCGTTTATGACAGCAGCGTGTTCGGATTGTGATTCCTTTGAAACAATAAAAATTATTGATTATTATATACGTAGAATGCTGACCATAAGGATAACAAACAACAAGGAGTCAAAATATTCACCTGAGAAGCCATATTCAGCCAAATAACTGACTTGCTGACCATATTATTTAACCATTGGTGTTTACCAGAGAGAAAAAACATGTCAGAGTACCAAGTTCTGAAAAAATAGCAAAATAGACGGGGTTCCCATTGGATGCGACTTTCAGAAGATTGAGAACAAATCAACATGGAAGTCACGACATGTTGAAATGTTAATTAAATTGGTAGGATTTTTCAGTGGTCAGTCAGCTAATTACGATTGATATTCCAGATAGCTTCGATTTTAATGTTTTTGATTAGCAACCTGTGCGAAATTATCTGCAGCCTCCACTTTTCAAGTAGCTTGATATTCATGGACTAGTTTTTTTATATACTGATTGGATTGAATATGAATTGAAGGAATAAACCATTCTTACCCAAAAATATCGTAAGGCTTGCTCTGAACTCTGCATTGCAGTTGAAATCCGTCTGTTGGATGGCCATTTTCATTATAAATTATCATATGCATATAAAAATTCGTTCAACCGAGGTTTTAATTGACACAATGGATACCTTTTAAACTTAAAACGCAAATCTCTCCTGAAGTGCTGTGATGTCCGAATAGTACGCCAGAAACAAGCAAAAGTGTATCGGATTCGTTAAACTGGGAAAACTGGGTGTACTTCCAACTGAAAAATTTCATGTTTTTCGAGAACTCTTCCCTCACCGGATGTCCACTCCTCCAAACCTGATCAAAAATACTTGTAGTACACGACCCTCATTCACAACTAGAATTGACTTTTTCTCATTATTTATAATACCACAATCTGGCCGTCCTTAGCGGATGTGGCGAATCGTTTTCCATCGTGGGAAAATGACACATGAAGCACTTGATCAGTGTGTTTGATCACCTCCTCCACCTCAATAGACGGCGTATCATCAATCAGTCGACGAAATTCACTTCGCCAACTTGCGTAATCTAAAAAACCAAAGAATTTGAAACATTGTATTGCTGTTTGTTGCACATGGGTTATTAGGTTGCAGAGCTAAAAAGAGCATTGCATCGGATGTATCTTACATGAAGGTCCTGGAAATAGACCAACTCCCACGTGAAAATGCCGATGGAAAAGATTCCTCCATAAAATCTCATCATCACAAATACCATTAAACCTCCAATTGGTTTTTGCTAGAGATCCGATATCCTTAAACTTGTTGAGATAGCTGAATACTTTGAGAATTAGAGAGTCTGGAAGATCCAACAGGGTCGTCGCAGTACTGGGGTCAAATTCTTCTACATCCAAAGGAGTAACCTCCATAATTCTTATACAAAAACAAAATTTATGTAAACTGACATGCGAAATGGAGCCAATGATGATTCAATAACTACGATTTACCTGATTCGATAATAATCAGCACTGCGACGTTGTTGACACCCATCAACTCTGAACTTACGTCCGGCTGTCCTTCAACTTGGGTAGAAAGGGGATAAATTTCGTAATGATGATTGAAGTTGTTTTAACTGGAAGACTAATTAGCAAAATAAAAAAACCAAGACAAAAGAGAGATGTTATTCATCAACTGCTGATGGAGTGATTCATCGACTGAGGTATGCATTTCACCCCAACAACAACGAAATACCGCATACCACTCATAGAGAGAGAGTACAAAAATCCGTGTCACTACTTACCTTTGCTAATAATAAACTCAAGTAAAGAAGACAGTTATTTACAATTTCCCAAGTAACACAGCTGACGACGTATGCTGAGTAGATTCCGATTTCCAAATTAGCTCTCGAGTTACTAACTCCTCTCCCCCCTCCCTGCTGCTGGCTGTTGCACGTATTTACTTTGTAAAAAACGATTTATATCAAAAACAAGGAATTTGTCAATCAAGAAAATAACTGTTGTCTTTAATTATTTTAGGCGTAGCAGTAACTAATCACCATCACTGCCACCATGTCGTATCAACTCTACCGAAACACGACGTTAGGTCACACTCTTCAAGAAAGTTTAGACGAGTTGGTCCAGTACAATCAACTCACACCTGCACTCGCCCTCAAAATCTTGCTCCAGTTTGACCGCTCCATGAACAACGCCCTTGCCAACAAGGTCAAGTCACGACTCACCTTCAAAGCGGGCAAACTACACACGTACAGATTTTGCGACAACGTTTGGACCTTTCTTCTTAACGACGTCGAGTTTCGAGAGGTGCATGAAGTCGCAAGGGTGGACAAGGTGAGTGTGGGACAGGACATGTATCTTACCCGTTTATACACTTGGAGGGTGCCTGCGAGATTCACTCGATGTTACCTCAGGTTGTGTCAGTTTAATCGACCTTGTTAAGATTTAAAAAAATCCAGAGTTGGAGAATTCGAAAAATTATGACTTAATTTTTAAACTTGTGTTTGGGTAAATATGTCCGTGGAATTGCGCACGAATTTTTCTCGAAATGTGTGGTATGACCTCATCTTCGTATTTCAATTATTCGTCATGTCAAACTCGTTATTTCTCATCCGATTTGCCTGACTTTTTGAAAAATGGTGAAATTTTGGCATGTCGGCAATACATGTGTCGTGTAGTGCAATATCGACAGCACCAGGAGTAGATTGTATCTAAAAAGCATGAAACTCAGGTTAGAAATGGCGAAATTCTTTGTCCACATTTTTTATATTTGCAAAAGTCGATGAAACTGGCACAACCTGCAGTACATCATCATGCCCAGACAGACTTCCCCCCAAGGGGGTAAAAAACTTGGGTTGGTTATCATGAAGTGATGCTTAAATACGACTCTATTTATATTAGGTCAAGATCGTCGCTTGTGATGGAAAGACGGTTGCTCACGCACCTCCACTTCCGGAACGGGATGATTAATTACAAATAGTTATTGTGAAAGAACAAAAAGGACCCCCATGATCAGCAGCAGCAACAGTTTTGAGAGGTCAAGAACTAATAACATTTTAAAATCTCTGTATGTATTTTATGAGTGATTCCTATGCCTATGTATTAGATTTATACTTGTTTGACTGGGTCGAAAGTAAACAAGTATTTCGGTTTTCCTTTAGTTTTTAAGCTTTTGGTGGTCATGTTATCGTACACTTTTATCGTGTGGGTTTTCATCTGATTAAATAAATCAATCTCATCCGTTTTAGATAATCTCGCAACAAATGTATTCATGCACGTATTTCATATTCTATAATTATGAGGAGTCATGTCCAGTCTCCAGTCCATGTGCGGTAATACCCGGGTAAAAAAAGTACTGGTTTGATTTTGGTTTGTTTCCTCTTTGGAGTGCATTTGTATCCTGGCACCGGCATCGTAGGAGGACTGCTGGATGCAGCCGATTCAGGATCGATAACATTTACACAAATCTTAATGAAATGGTCCACCGTGCATAAATCCGTCCATAATGTAAATATAAGCAATAATAATTAGTGAGTAGTGCGCTGAGCTGAGGAAATTAATAAATACAATTCGAATATCATCTGCGGGTAAGTAGGAATTTTTTGTAAAGTTGTAATTTTTAAGCATGCAGAATTTGCTTTAATTGAATTTGCACTCGGAATTCGGAATTCGGAATTCGCTTTAATGTGGCAAATGCTAAATTTGATATTATCGGGGTTTGATCGTTAAGTCGTCGTCATTTAGTCTCGATACTGCTGCTGGTTTCTCCACGTCTCGCAAACAAAAGAGCGTGATCAAAGATGGAAAGGAATTGCTGATTGTTAGAATACTATAATGGATGGATACTAGAGAGTTGGAGATTTTTTGTACTTTTACTTGTACTGTACTGTGACTACAGTACAATACAAAAATTAGTACAAAAATCAAAAGACCTGGAGAATTTCATTATTTTGTACTCTGAAAAAATTGTATTGTAAAACTCCGCGAAATAGATGAGTCAAAAATTGAGACAAATCAACTCATGATATACAAAATGAGAATCCCTCCAACATGTGCGTTTAAAACGATCAAACCAAAAAGTCGAAATTTTTTACCCTTGACCTCGATTAAAACGGTCACCAGGCTGATATAAGCCGAAATGATAGTAATTTCTGAACTCCTCGCTTCAAAGTGAACTACGTCTGCAACGGTTGAAATAAAATATTAACATTTTTGACCTTTGACCTCGTGAACATGGTCACGGGGTCTTCATACGTTAAAGCTATGCAGATTTCTTAAATTCTCGCCTTAATACACGTCTAAAACAGTCGACACTTAAATTGCGACCTTTGACCTCGTCCTTTCGGTCATTGGTTGGTCGTAGGTCAAAAGTATTGACGACTATAAATTCTTGGTGAACTTTCCTTTAAAATGATACCGCATATGAAAATTAAGGTACAATTTTGCGTTTACTTCACGCCAGGGTGACCTTGACCTTGACCACAGGGAGCCCATCTTCGAACTCGACCTAGGGTCAAAAATTAGAAGCAAAATGGCGAAAACGGCGTCTGATTACATTGAGGCGTTCTAGAGATATCCTAGTTGCCAACCCTTGATTTTTCCACAGTAGTACAAATTGAGCCCGTGTTTCAATTTGTCTACTGTAGACTGTAGAATTAGTACAAAAAGCTGATGACGTCATCATCTAGAGTCCACAGTACAGTCTACAGTCAGAGTACAAGGAATCTCCAACTCTCTACTATCATGTCTTTGCATAAGCCCTCTGTGAAGGTGTGTGTGTAGTTGTGTAGTACTTGCTGTATTTTGTTGTAGTTGTGTCGCGATTTCGTCCACACGTTCACGAATGCAATGGGAAAAGTTTGGCTGTGCTTTTTGCTTGTTTAATCCATAATAACCCCATAAAACCATCATCGACTTATTTCTTTCTTCCCTGCGTCCTGTCATGCAGCCCGTGAATTGGTTCCCTAAAAAGCAGCTCATCGCATATCATTACTGTTATTATTATACTCTGCTTGCCCAGCTTGTCCGTTTGACTGACTTGACATAAAAATTGGACTCATTTTTTATCCCTTTCTCGCATCTTCTCACTTCCGCTCCTGCCCGACCATCAGCATTCATTTCCCATTAACGCCACTACCAGCATCGTCGTTGTCAGCATAGCAGAGTAATAATAATTTCTTGCTCAGAGACAGCCAGTTAATGCTTTCCCCTCCTTTTTTTCCTATACTAAATGACAGACACCACCCGCACCACTACTTTCCAAAACTTGATAAGCCCTCGATCCCGGGCACCCATTGTACTCACGGATGAGGATGAGCTTTTGTCGTCCGAACGGGCAGAGAGACCAGGACCAAGCAGCACTACCAGCAGGGTCAGTACCATTAGAAGAGAACCGACATCACCATCGCCTCCTCCTCCTGATCACCACATGCATTTCCAAGCCCACCACCACAGTGAACGTGTTCAGCAACAAGAACTAATTAGTACGTGGAGACCCAGTAGGAACGTGTCCCCTGCATCCGGCCACTCGCAGTCGGCCCCAACCAGCGGACGTGGACGGGGTGGGACATTATTGGTGCGAAGTGCGACGGAAGAAGACCATGGCCAAAGTCGACGCCCACTGACCCCGAGGTCCAAGTCGTACGAGGAAACGAGCAGCTCCCGGAGTGTCGTCCGACAAGTAAGTGGCTGTGATTAATGTGATCGGGTAATTCCTCCTCTAAATTGTAAAACCGATTGGTCAGGGAATTGTAAAAGTACAAGACACGATTGTGCTGAATTTAAGCTCAAAGACAGCAATGACACACAGGTGACGGTCCGTGCCATCCCAGTTCATTATTTCAAATTGATGTTCCACACGCGATCGTCACCAGAACAGACCGTTCGTCGTCAGATTTGCAGATTGCAATTTGATTAGATTATTGTCATCGTCCTGAGTCCAGTTTTGTCTCGTTGTCCATTCTTTCCATCTGTGTGGGCCCCAAAATCAAATGATTATTGTCTGCAATGGACGTGGACACAGATAAAACAATAAATTTGTAAACATGTGAACCCATTCCCACAACAGCAAGCTGGGCGATGTGACGATAAAAGCTCTGCAAGCATTAAGAACACGCTTTACTCGTGACTTTTGATGTGATGTGTAAGAAGAGTCCTAGGGTAATTTGACAGTTGGTCATCTTATCGTCCAGATAGCACGTAGGGGGCTTCGCCTTGGTGGACAGATTACCACCATTCCATTTCATTCAGCACAAGGGGAATTGGGTGGGGATCTAAATATGCATATGTTAAATCAGTTCAACGACTGACTGCTGCTCAATAACCGTCTCGACTTTTGGCCACAAACTGTCTGGAAAGAAATTAAAGAAATTAAGGAAAGGCAGAGATAGCTGGACAAATCAGAGTCGTAAATGGACATGATTATCATAGGATGACAGGACGACGCTGTGTTTGAGAATGAGCCTCAAATTCCTCCTCCATAATTGCACGGCGATAGTCTGTGACGGAATGTGTCGAGGTCTGCGGCTTTCAATCTCGGATTGGGTTTGGTTCCATGAAGGTGTTTGTGGGACGAGCTGGACTGTCAAAAATTAGGCGTCACTTTATTTGGTTGACAATTTTTTGTTTCAAAACCTAACCAAAATTTTAAAACTCTGAAACACCGTAAATACAATAATACATACATAAAAAAGAAAAAAAATAATAATTTAGTGGGTCGGGTAGACTACTCCTCATCATTGAGATGCAGTCTTCTTACCGACGCCCAAGACCAAAGGTACCATCATTAATTTGCATCCAGAGTTAGGTTTATTGTCCTTGTGAGATTGATCCACAATTGAGACGAATCAAAAGATTGAGGTTATTTTTCTTATACTTTCGACAGTCTTTAGCACTGCCAAGTTCCACGTCAGGTCAAACACCGACCGGTGGCCGACCCCCGCTGACCTCGATTCTGCGGTCTCGTGTGGGGTTGAGCATGGACTCTCCAGCTGGCGACCTGATGACCACGGGTGGTTCCGCCCCCTTCCATCACACTTCCTCCCCCAGAGCGGAGGAAGAGGCTGGAGCGTATAGGCGACGACTGGAAAGCTATCGACAGGCTCAACACCAACAGGCTTTACTCGTAGCGCGACTCCAATCCAAGGTAAGTAATGCTCGGATTATTGTGCAGTTCGGATTACAGAGGGTAAAGTTAGACTACTTTATATTAACATTCCAGCTCCTGCAATACAAGCAACGCTGCACAGACTTGGAGTCGCGCCTGGGTCACACAATCATGCTCCGACCCGAGGAACTCCAGTACGGATCTCCCATCAAAGACCATCATCTCGACTTTCCTACCCCCACTGGTGGACCCCCTCATCGCTCATCCGGTGGTGGCGGGGGTGGCGTTGTATTTGCCCCGACGCAAACTCCGCCCACTCCCACGGCCATGGATCTGGACGACGCCTTATGGAAGTTGGAGCAGGAGCGGGTTCGAAATGAGAGTCTCATGCAATTGAATCGCGACCTGCGGAACGAGCTGGACGAGACGCGAAAGATGAACAACGCCTTGTCCACCGACTTGGGTAAACTAAGCGACGATTGGGACAAGTTGGCGAGGCAGATGGGCGAACGGGAAAATCTGTGGAAGGCGGAAGAGCAGGCGTATTCCGACTACTATGCCTCCGAGCACACCAAGCTCCTCGCCTTGTGGAAAAAGGTGGCTGGACTCAAACGGGACTTCGCCGAGGTGAAGGGTGCCACGGGAAGGGATCTCACTCAACTCAAAAACAGCTTGGGTCGTGTGGCCAACAACGTGGCGACCGGAGTTATTACGGCGACGGCCTCAACACCGTCGCCACAACAGGTTTGTAGAACTTGAATGTGTATCAATTCCAATAGTTGCACGGAGAAAGTTCACCTAAATTCATGCCGTTCTGAAGGTTCGCATAAAATGTCGTTTCGTCTATAGTGTTTGCATGCAGGTTTATAATTGCATGTTTTCCAGGATTAAATTGGGCTGACAGTTGCTCAGCATATGCACCACTCACTACATTCATGCACATATGTATGCACATTAAGAAACAAATTATCTCTGTGCGAACTCTCCCGGTGGTCGCACCTGCGAAACGAGGTCAATCAAATTATCTTGCATGCCTATCACAACTGCAAGAAAAACAATTTAATTGAGCATTTCATTTTATGCAAATGTCTCCTTCTTGGTTCCTTAGTTGTCGTTCAATTCCGTTAAATCTAATTCATTTTACAAATTTTCTACAGGAGGCGGAACAGACGGCCTTTATCGCCCAGCTTACTCATGAGATCACGATGGCCCAAAACACGCAGGAGAATCTCCGGAAGCAGCTGAAGGACCGGGACGACAAGGTGACTCTGCTGGAAAGCACCCTCACCGACTTGGACTCCAAAACCACGACACTGGAACAAGAACTCAATCGTGTGTCCACTCAAGAGCTGGGTCTCCTTCAGAACAGTCTCCGAGAAATTGCGAAGCTTCTCCTCAACGACTACGAGCAGCACGGGACGGAGGGTGTCGACGCCACGCACGACCTCCACCTCTCCTCTACTCCCGCAATCTTCATCTACGACGAGAGTGGCGAAAACCCAACCGTTTTTGCTGAAAGTATCGTATCTGCAGTGCAGGCGGCCTTGAACAAGAGGCAACTACAGATCCACTCACTTCAGGTAACGATGATTACTACAATTTCTAACATTATTATGAGGGATGCAGTTACATACATAATATTTCGCCACATTTATACCGATTCTTGATTATTGCATCTGCAGGTGAGCCTAAACTCCACGAAGGAGCAATCCATGGTGTCACGCGGACATGTGGAGTCTCTCGAGCTGGAGGTGACCAAGGACGAGGATAAGATTCGTCAACTGGCTGAGAGCTGTGAAAAGCTGAAGGATTCCTTGGAAAACATACGAATCGAGCGGGACACTGCTCAACGGGCGTTGGACAACTTGAAAAATGAAAAGAACATTTTAGAGCAGCAGCGGAAAACTTTGGCCTCAGAACTTGAAGCTACCATCAAAGTGAAGACCAGTTTATCCACAAATCTCATGAAGGTAAATCACCCACGTGAACCATGTTTAAACCATTCGATTAATTTTAATGTGCTGTCCAATTTTTCAGTGTGAAAAGTCACTTGAAGCAGCTCGCACAGAGGGAGAAACGCTGACTGGAGAACTTGATAAGACACGCGACGAGCTAAATGTTCGTTGAATGATAAGTATTTGTATTGCCTATAAATTGTGTTATTATTTAAGATAAGATGCATATTAACATACACTAGGTGAGAAACAGAAGGTATAAAATGGACTTGTTTAGGTTCGTCTGACTGCGTTGAAACTGGAGCAAGATCTAACCTCCAAGCTACGAGAGCAGCTTTCCAACCTGGGCGAAGACAAGGAGCGAAACACTCTTGAGAATAAAACGCTCAAGAACAGTTTGAATGAAGTCACGTCAAAGTATGAGGACTTGTCCTTCCAGTTCGAACGTAGTGAAGATTCTCTCAAAAAATGGAAAATGGATGCTGAAATCTTGTCTGAGAAGCTTCGTTCTTCAACCGACCGGTCAGACCTTGTGGAGAAAGAGAAGCGCAAATGGGTGGAGAAATCTCGCTCATTGGAGGATGCCAAAGTTTCTCTCGAAACTGAACTCACCGATGCTCGCAATGACTTGGCCGCTCTGAGAAGGGAGATTTTGGAGTCGGAACGAATTCGAACGGATCTGGAGGCTAAAATTGAACGAGAAGTGATTCGTGGGGACGGTGCTGATAATCGAAGAGCAGTCCTCGAATCACAGCTTGAATCACAAAGGGATGAATACTTGAGAGAAATGGGCATCCTTTCTGAGCGAATAGAAGTCTTGACGGAGGAGTTGAATCAAGCGAGGTAAGTAACAAATGCCCTTCTCAACCTGTTACTCTATATTTGCGAATACAATTAAATGCTGAATGTTTCTGAGTAGACGTGATCTCGAGGAAACCTTCCAAGTCGTCGAACGCACGAAAGCGGACCTTGCAAATGCGGAGCGCCTTCACATGGAAGCCATTCACGTGATTGAGACGAAGGAGGGCGTCATCAAGAACTTGAGTGGAATTCTGGACAAGACGAAAGACGAGAAAATTTCACTGGAAGAACTCGAGCAAAACTTGAAACTCGTCCTACTCGAGAGGGACAAACGGATCGAGAGTCTGGACAAACAGCTTTCAGACATGAAGAACAAAACCGGAAATGAAGCCGCTGCACTCAAAGACCGACTCACGAGGTGGAAATAATGGATTTATTTACTTAATTGCACACTTGTCTGAAGTATGTATTTAAATAATTTTGATTATTGCAGAACTGAAAATGAGATGAAATCTCAAAAGGAGAAAATGGATTCTGAAAAAGTTTCACTCGAAAGCAAATTCACTCTGGAGCTCAACACTCTGAAAGCGAGCAGCACTTCCAACGAAGAGAAATTGAAATCTGACTGCGAAGAAAAGCTCAAGAGTTTGCGGACCGAGTTGGAGTCGGATAAGAAGCAGGACGGAAACAAACTCAATGGTGAAATCAACTCGCTTCGCAGCCAGATCGAGAGTATGCGAGTGCAGTATGAGGAGGCCTTACTTCGTGCAGAAAATGATAAGCAGCAAGGCCTCCTTTTGGCCCAGCAGGACCAACAAGGACTTTCCGATAAGATCCGCCTCCTCGAGAGAGAACTGGAAGACTTGAAGAGCGATAAAGGTTCATTCCATTAGTCCATCCCAACTTAAGTAAAACATGTTTTAAAGTAATATTAAACTTTCAGACCGCATTAAACGAGAATGCGAACAGAAATGTTCTCACGAGAAAAGCTCTTCCGCCGCACTCCGTTCCGAAATTATTAAAATCCGAAACGAATTAGAAAATACGAAGCAGGACGGTCTCGACACTCTCAAACAGATTGAACTCCGCATCTCTGAAGTGGAGCGAGACCGAGAGGCTGCTCTTCTGCACGTGGAGGAACTTCGGAACAAACTCCGCTCAGTGGAAGAGCGAGAATCGGAGCTCAAACGAGAGTTGGTCGACGTTTCGAGGAAATTGAAGGACTCTGAGAACAGCGGGGATTACTCCAAGAAGGAGATTGTCGAGCTGAGAAGAACGCTCTCGGAACTGGCAACGGAGAAAGAGAAGACCAATTCGCTCCTGGAAAACTTGAAGGACGAACTCAGCCGGCGAGAGGGCGAGTTGACGAACACGAAGAAGGAGCTCGCACGGACGACGACTGCTGTCAAGAATCTGGAAAGGGTCAAGACTCAACTGGAAGGGGACGTGGGTGGGCTCACTATCAAGTTGGACTCGGTCGGAAAAGAGAAGTCGGAGCATTCTCGCCTCCTGGAAGAAATGGGAGAGCAGTTGTCGCAGTACAAGTCCATGGTGGGTCGACTGGACGCTGAGGTAAATGAGCTGAAAGTGAAGCTGGATGCAGAGTCTGAACGTCGGGATGAGGCCGAAGCACAGTGGAGAAACACCAAGAAGATGTTGGAAGAAGCTGAAGGGCAGCTCGGCCTGGCCAGGAGCGAGGAGGAACGGCTCTCTGTCAAACTGGCCGACGCGGAGGAACGGTATGGAAGCCGAGAAGGTCAATTCATAGCCATGGCTGAGGAGAACAAGTTGAGAGAAAAGAAACTCATGGAGGAGAAGCACAATCTGAACATTTGTCTCAATTCTGTCCAGCAACAAATGGAACATTTCTCGGTAATATTTGACTTTCATCGCAAAAGTCTCAGTGTGTCTCATGACCTGTTGATTACTTGTCTATCCATATTTTAGAACAAGCTGTCCAGCGCAGAGTCCAAATTGAAAGTGCTCACTGATGAAAAGTCCGAGTTGGAACAAACCAAGAAGGCTGCCGAGTCGAAACTGTCTCAAATTTCTTCCGGGTTCAAGCGTCTTGGTTTGGCCGGGTCCATTTTCGACTCTCCAGAGGCTGCTCGCCGTGCCATGGCCACCTTGCAAACTCAAATGGCTGCCCTACAACAAGATCGGGACACCGTGGCGACCCAACTCTCCGCCACTAAGGATGCCCTGTCATCTCTGGAAATGGTCAAAACGCAGCTAGAGGACCAAATCAGTGCCCTCTCTAGAAACCTGTCCTCTTCGAAGGCTGACCTGAAGGGGAAAGAATCCTCAGTGATGACGCTGGAGAAAGACCTGGCTCTAAGATCTGGAGAAATTTCACGCCTTGCTGATAAGGTGAGAGAGCTGGAGGACGCGATGAAAGCACGAGACGACTCTGTCCGTGTTCTGAAAGGAGAGAAGGAAGCCTTGCGAGATGACCACGAGAGGGGTCGGGCAAAATGGGAGGAGTCCAAGTCACAGAACGACTCCCGACTCGCCAAAGCGGAGGTGAACATGCGTGCCCTCGAGGGTGACTTGAACCGGATGGCCCTCGTTCTCCAACAGAAGGAGGGTCACATCTCCGCTCTCGAGGAGAAATGCAATGGGATGGCGAGGAGTAATGCGGGTATAACAGTCTAGCTAAACTGTAAATAGTATTATTTATTACGCATTGCGATTTACTGATGCAAACTCGCACAGATTTGGAAGAACGAACAGCCTCTCTCACGATGACCGTGGAGCAGCTCAACATTTCCCTGGAAAAGAGTGCCCAAGCGGAGTCAGACTGGAAGGACAAGTACCACTCGGTGAGTAGGAATGCGTCCGAGAATTCTGCGCAGAACAGCGCCCTGGGTGAAAAGTTGAGGAGTTTGCAGAGGGAGAAAGCCATGTTGGAGCAAGAGAGGGCTAATCTGGGAGAAAAATGGGAGGCTGCCACGGCAGCTCTGCAGGATTTTAAGAGGCAGGTTGCTCTACTTTCGGATAAGAATCAAAAGTTGAGGTTGGAAGCGGAGGACATGACTCGAAACGCGATTGACAAGCAGCTCAGAATGGCGGTGAGTAGGATGGACGTTCTTTAACTATAATATCATGAATGATGCTCATATTAATCCTCCTCAGTTGGCCGAATCTGGAAAGGACGATATGAAGTCCGTCATTTCTGACAAGCTTGAACTGCAACGGAAGGTGGACAGCTTGGTGGACAAGATTCGTGATTTGGAGAGAGAAAACCGAGAACTGGAGCGTTTGAAGGATTCTGTGGCTGTGAAAAATGTAGCTGCCCGGTCCCCCGTCCCAACCATGATGCGGGACAATACCATCGCCGTGCTGGAAGAGGAGAATTCAGATCTCAGGAGGAAAATTTCAAAAATGGACGCTGAGATTCGAGACATGGAGAGAAGACATGTCAAACACGTCGCAGACGTAACGCTCCAAGTTAAGCAGGTAACTTATTAACTTAACGTAAAAAATAAAGGGTAGAAAATATTTTGAATTTCAAATACTTGTTTTTAAATCAAGGAACGGGATTTCGAACTGGAACGAGCCAGAGCCGCCAAGTTGCAGGCGGAAAGACTTTTAGAAGTAAGATAATTATATTTTTGCATTCCAGCAAATTGCTGATTCAAAATTTACTTCTGAGCTCAAAATGAGCTAAAAATATATCTTGATTATAATTTTATACATGTTTACATAATTGAGTTCATGTATTACTGAATTAATTTGTAGGCTCGTGAAGGAAACTATCGTCAGCAAATTCAGCGACTCGAGCAGCAAATAGCAAACTTGAAGGAACAACTTGCCGAAGAGATTCGCCGTCGACAAACATTTTTGTCACGCAGTTTTCGCACTGGTAACAAATTGAATATCTTGCATACGCTTATGCTAAAGTACTCTAATTAGTTGAGTAATTATTGTTTATACAGGACAAGAAATACGATCACTGCGGCAAACTTTGGGGGACTCGTTGAGGAACGTGAGCATGGATCCATCGCCCCTGACGATGGACAATGAAACTCGACGGCTAGATACGACGTTGGATCTTCACAAGAGCGCGTCTCAATCGTCACTTTTGAGTCCGTCGCAGATGAGGGACTCTTCCCCCGGGGGATACAAGAGCAGAGATCTCTCCACCCCAATCCCCAAACATTAATTACTGGTATTACTGGTATTATTTGTAGAAGCGGACATTGTCCCAGGATTCTGAGATTATCGTCTCACCCATCACTGCCATTCCTTCTCAAGGTAGTCAATCACTAACTAATCTGAGGTTGGATGCAAATTATGAGGGGTATCTACATACGTACATACATATAAATCTAGATATGCCGTAGGGAATACAAGTTCCAAACTAAATAAAAATATCACGTTTTTGTTGCAATTTGCAATGTCAAAAGTCACGATCAATGAGCTAAATTAGAAGAAATCAGTCAATCTTGTTATGTGTACAAATTTGGTTTGATAATATTTTGTATGGTTTTCATTTGCTGGCTTGTCTGCATTTTTATCGATTGATTCAGGAAATAAATTAGTGGTTTTACTACTTGTTCCACGATTTATGTGTGTTTAGTATACGAAATTTGTATAGTAACTTTATTTCCAACCATACTTACTATACATATTTAAGTATAAAATGTGGATATAAAATTGAGATTTAACATTTGAACATTTAAAACTAATACCAGTGAGGTAACATATGAGCACAAAAATTGTAAATACGCGTAATGCAAACTACTATTGTGATGATAGTAAGAACGGGAGCAGTAAATTCCACTCGGCTGAAGTTAAACTTGGAGGACCCGCGTATGAGTTTTCATCAGGATTTGAATTATTATTTTCTGCATTTGTCAGTTGCTGAAACATAAATGACAAAAGTTAAATTTTGAAAAAGAAGAACTCTGTGAATGCATTGTATTTATTAAATGGGTTGACTTACGCCCAACATAAATGCGAGTTTAATAGAGAGAAATTGTGACGGATAAAGGTTAATTTTGGTACATAGCTGAAAACAAAGGAAAATTAATGTCGGTTTTACATGACTGCTAATTTGCAAAAAAATCAAATGAAATACGTAGTGCATACATCTAATTCTGCTGTAGTTACGACATCAATTCCGGGAATATATTTATCAGCAATAAATAGGTCTCCCGTGCCCCTTAGTTGCTCGCTTAGTAGGGATAAGCCTCCCTTTTGTAGTGGTTGACCCGGTGCTGGCACTGTTACCCCTTCCTGTGGCATTTGGGGTAATAAAGCAACTTCCAATCCGTTTGATTCCGAGCTTCTTAAGTTGAAGCCGCCTTTGGAGGACAACTGCAGAATGGGATTTGGGGTGACAGAGGCGTTTTCGTCGACGTTTTCTTCGTTTCCCAACTCCAACCGGGTCGGGTTTGGAGTTTGTTGTTGTAGAAGTTGTTGAATCAGAGCCGGACTCTGAGTCATCATCAACCCCTTCTTGTGACCTCTGTCCTAGAAAATTGTATATTAGACGGTCAAACTTTTAACGGATACGTGTCACCAACATTACCTCGTCGTCCTCCTCCTCAACAGTTCCTAATCCGGCGGATGCAGCAGGTCTCTTTCGCAACCCATTTCCTTGCCCCGATGGTCCTCGGCTACGTTCAAATTCAATGCATTCTTCACCTCGAGTAATCCCCACATTTCGGTATTTGAACACTATAATATATATATCCGTTGCTCTATTCTTATCAAATTAACTTCATTATACAATTAACCGGAAATAATTCGTACATTCTGAGAGTCGAAGACGGAGATCTTTCTCCTTCACCAAGTTTCGAGCCAAGTTGTCAAATTCTCGAGAGTTGTAGAATTGAGAAAAGGGACGGAACTTTTCTTGAAGTTGTCTATAAAAAAATTAATACAGTTTGAAGTGTGAAGTGAAACAATCAATAAATCTTTAGTAGTCTCCAGTACTGACAAATTATAGTATTGTGAGTTCTCACTTTTCAGAAATTTGAAATTTCTTGACAGTTTCCTTATTTCCACCACCAGGTTCAGTACCATCTGCATCCGAATTTAGAGCACCAATGCCAGCCGCCTTCTTGGCCCTGTCCTTTTTGAAGAACTTGCAGACTAGTTGATAATCGCGAATGACTCGTTTCCTTCTAGCACGCTCCCTCAATCGCGCAGAGTACAAATCCACGAGGGCAAGCTTTAAACCAATTTCTAATTCATCATCTTCGGGTGTGAAATTTAGTTGAGAGACCAATTTTTCAGCTTCGTTGTCGTATTCCTGAAATAATATCAATATATACCGCCAAAGTAGTACCTTATAATATTAACAAATGTCATGTCATGAAAATTATTGAAAGTTAGGCGATCACCTTCTCGTAGTCATCTCTAAAAGGCATATAACCCAGTTGCAACATTTCATCCGAACTAATGTCTAGCGGTGGCAGTCTCTGAGTTAAGCTGGGCGACAGAGGCCCTTCATCCCCTGGAGATGTGTGGTCAATTGGTTGTGGAAATATTCCAACACTTCCTTTGAACTCAGAACTCCATTTGTTCTCAGCAGAAGAATTATTGCTCTCCGCCCAAGAAACTTTTCCCACATTTCCATCAACATGACGATGAACAAATTCTTCCTTTGCTTCAATGGCACCCCTCGACTCGATGTGTTTCGATATGTCTTGCCAATTTCCGAACCCGTATTGCTCAATGGCATCAAGAAGCCGAATCTCCTCTCTGGCGGACCATCTATTTGACGTGGTGGGTGCGTTCGTGGTGGAGGAGGAATTGTTTTCCTTGGAGGAGGAAATGTCCTGGCGAGATCCTGGAAATAGTGCTAAGCTTCCTGAGTCCTAGAACAGCAGAGAAATGTGTGATTTAGTTAATTCAAGAGTGGAATCAATTCTATAAATTCTTCTAATTCTTACAAAGTATCGATATGGGTGTTCTTTTTTGTGCGACCCAATTTCTGTTCCTGAAGCGAAACACTGAAAATTGATAAGGATATAAAATGTGATACAATTCAATTTAGTTAATTGTTATTCTAATTCTTGTTATATAGTTTAGCTTCTTATGGTTACTTTACCTCAGCACAAAGACGAAAAGGTGCACCTTGGGGTTGGCATTCTGAACATTCGACTCCCAACCCGGATATTTCGTATCTACAGTTTAAACACGACGAGCGTGTAAATAACTCTTCATAGTACAACATGACTCTCCAACAATCGAATTAATTAAAGTTAAACAAATAAATTATCAACACTGAACGGAAAATAGCTGAGCTGCTGCACTTGTTTCTTATTTTGAGCTCTGCTGTTGGGCGTTTTATTCTCCGCTCCGCTCCGGCTGAAGAATAGGTGGCTCTCTCTCCCCTCCACGGAAACGCAAAACCGTCGTCTCAACCTACCTCCTCACTAGTCAAGTCCACACGTCGTCTCATTCTGCCTCACTCAAAACTTGCTAATTTTCAATCCCCGTCTCATCTCACCTCACCTCCCTCCGCGTGATGAAATGATGCATACACTCATCATTTACTCCCTTATTAGTTCAGATAATAAAAGCTTTTAAAACCTCTTGGCTTTTTTGGAACAGAATTCCTCCTGATTCTGCAGTTTGGCTGATGAAGTAGGATATTGATGGTACGCGGCCTGGGTGGGAAGATGGACGGGCAATAAATCTAAAAAATCTATCTAGTGGTGGGTTAGTGGGATTGGATGAGGTGCGGGTTCATTTTTTGTGTGCGGAGGGGGGATTGATTGCCCCCATCTGTCTCATCCCACTTTGATTTCAACCCTGATAAGGGCAGGATTTGAGACAAATTGAGAACGGTGAAGTTTAAAGCGTGGATGGATGGAGGGACGAGGAAAGGGCGTGAAGCAAAGGTGGTGATTTCGTTTCAAAAACAAGGTCCAATCTTCATGGGTGATCTTGATTGTCGCACTTTTTCCCTGGTGGTGGCAATCCAATCTCACTTTCACTCTGCCACGGAGTCTCCACGACATAATCACGTATCTGACGACGATATGTGCACCTTTACCTCAGTCCTTGTTATTCTATACTATAGACCAAGCAGCACAGTGGGCAACTAATATGCGGGTGAGGATGCAAAATTCTTAGCGAAACCTCAGCCTCCTCGGAAGTGCGATTTTGAGCAATAAGATGAGTAAGAGATTGATAAGATGAGGGTCTGGTGGTGGTGGTAGGTCTGCCATATACATACGTGCACTGTCTGGGGAGATATAAGGCAAATAATCAGCCAAATCAGACCAAATTCAACCAAGCATCCTCGTCATCATCAAACTAACTCAGTCAATCGGGAATGTCTCTCCTCCTCCTCCCAGAGCCCGGCCTGATTGCAATAAGAATACGAAATGCTCAACCCTTATGAAATGGAATCAATAATGAAGCACGAGAAGAGGACAAGGCAATTCAATTGCACCCAATTTGAGTCCGTCTGAATATACCAAGCGAAATCAGGAGTGCAAACAAAACCGCATGGAATTCTCACACTTGCTCTGTCCACAAAATCAACGTGGAACAGACAGACCAGCTCCTTCTAGATTGGATTGTGGTGGACACAAGACAGAAGAACATGTCAAATCCCACAGCAGATAAAAGCACATGTCCACCGGCGACCAGAAAAAAAAACCCAACCACAAAACTTCTCCGTTTTATTTACTATATCACGAAATCAACATAAGTAATTCAGCAGAGACTCAAAGTCAAGCGGGACAAGGAGACAATTCTTTTCCTCCTCCGCCCAAGAGTGAGGAGTCGTCACCCTCCTTTCACCACCACCACCACGACCACGACCGTGTCTTTGAGGACGATGATGATTGGGCTCTGAGGGCAAGAGAGAGAGAGAGCTAAATGGTAAATTGGATGATTGGATGTCAAACAAAATTCAATTCAATCTCTTTCTTTCTTTGCTTGCTTGCTTGGTGGATGAGGCAAAGCGATAAAGCATTGTCTCCTATTGTACTTTAGCTTGATTTCGCTCCCTGCTTATCGGCTGGTTGGTTATTGCTTCGTGGGATGCGGTTGTTGCGTCCCTTTTGGCAGGAGTGAAAGTGAAAGTAAGTGACGACCATGCATTTGCTCCCAAGAAATCAACGACTCACGCACCTGCTGCTCCTCCTCAGCAAACAGGAAGGAAGACACGAGTAAATACAACTGTCCTCGAGCTGTTTATCTAATCATCTCATCCTCTCCTCCCTCCCCGTCCTTGGTCACTTCACACTAAATAGGCTTCGAGGTTTTGTCACAAGACGTTGATGCATTGAGTGGAATAATTAGCACAGGTAGGCAAGCTCATGCTACTTATTAGAAAATAGCGGATCCGGTTATTGAGATTGGATGCAAAACAATTGGTGCAAAAAGCATGCATGTGACTTCCCAGATTGGATTGTTGTTGTGACTGTTGAAACTGCAGAGAGACGGGAACACGGTGCAATTTTGCTCTGTTAAACTGTCTCTCACTCAACGACATGTCTCCTATATCCACGTGGCGAGTATTCGAATTGGATTGATTTTAGGGGTTGGTTTTGTATTCGTGGGTGCAAGAAGAAATTGAATCTGTTTTATTATTCATTCAATCAGGGCGAAAAATAAGACTGATTTTTTCCATGGATTGAATCCAGCAGGAAACAGAATCCAATCTACTCCTCAATTTAACCCCTTCACAGATGAGACTCCCTTCAATTCTCTCCCCGTTTCATCCCATATTATTATTGCATGCAGCCGTGGATTGCATATGTGCATGCTGCATGTGCAGAGGCTTCGCTTACGGGAGATTGGGTTTTTGTATGTAAAAAGAGCAACCAGTCAGTCAATATATGTACGGTGCAAAGCTAGATATGTAATGGTGTATACATCCTTGTGAAATTTTTCAAGTGGAATGGGGTGACGCAATATATGTTTAATTTGCTCCGTTACAAAGCCAAGATTTGGATGGGCAACTCATGGGCACAACAACTTTGTAGAAGGATCTCGAGTTTGTAAGCATGGGTTTGACATATTTTATTCGAATTCCGTCGTTCACCTGCTGCTGGCCGTTCCTTCCGGCGGTGCTGTGCTGGACAGTTCAAATCCAAATGCTGCGATTGAGTGCATGGAGTGAGGACACTCGATTTCAAGGGAACTGTGGGACTTTTACTATTATTATTGGCAGTCGCATAGACCACCCTTGGTCCAGTCTGGACTTGAATTTTCAGTGAAGTGTAAAGTAAAAAATCTCCAGGAGCGATTATCCACCATCTTTTTCTCTGCCCACTTCTTCTCTCTGTAGTCAAATGCAGGAGACAACCTTCTGCTCAAGAATCTCCTGCTGGCCCCCTCGGCCTGATGCATATTGAAAATTCATCGCCTGAAATAAGTTGTCCACCTTCAAGTGCACATTGTGTAAAAAATGAACATTTTAACAAAAACATCCACTCTTACCAACGACCACTTTAATACTTACAATTAGGATTTAATTTGCTCAACTGCGCTGGAAAATAATATTTGCTCTCATTCTGTCATTATTCTGCATTGATATTTCCGAGTGACGTAAGAGGTTGATTGTACGTGCATAATTCGTCCGTTGTAGAAGAAGAGGAGAGAAAGCGGGCTTTCGCTGAGCAGTGAGATCAGATTTAGGAGTGAGACCAGAGCCCGAAAGTCCCAGAGTCCTTGATATCCCGACGAAAGCAAGATGAAATAAATAAAAAATAAAAACAAGAGATCTCCGTTTTGAAGCGAGTATGGCAGCTCGTTAGTGTAATTGGTCAATATTTAGGGATGATTAGTGGGAAAGGACGCAATAAGACAACCGCGAACCAACAACTCCACTACCCGCCTTGACTCCAGTATCATCAACCGTCTTCAATTTCATCCAATTCATCTCTCCAATCCAATTTATTATTGAATCACATCACCCAAACCCAGCATATGTCACTCGAGTTGTACGCAGGTATGGTAGAATATACGTCTGTACAACGGACTGCTGTCTTGTGGACTGGATGCTGTGGTCAGTGAGTTTGAGGACGGGGAGCTGACTGACACAAAGCGTCACTTTCCCTCATGCCGAGATACTTTAACGAGGACGAAAATATTATTGGGGCCATGTTTAAAAATCATTAGGGGAAGGATGCCCGTGTGTGCGCTGTGTTGTTTCAACGTATGGATTGCAACATTCGATCCCAGACGTATTAATAAACTCAAATGCCAACATTGTTCACCCACCCAAAACTTTTCCTTTCTCCAGCATTGTCCATACCTCTGCTGGTGGGACAGTCGGCAGTGCAGCTAGACTAATATACATTATTAGTGAGTGTCTATACATACAGTCTAGCTAATGATGAGCAAACATTGTTTAATAATGGGAGAACAATGCTAATAACTGGGTGGCATTGTACTCAGCCACCCATTCTGCACTCAGAAAGGGCTTTCTTTCAATAGAAATGGAATACGTGGTGGACTAACAATGAGACAAAACTCGCAACTCGTACGTATCACTGAACGTGTATAGCCAACCAGGCAAAGAAATGGCCTTCTTCTTCCCCCATTATGTCATCCCCATCAATATCCCATCACCACCACCACTCTCACAATTATTGTTGCTACATATGCATGAGTGGGACTAATGACTCGGGAGAGGGTCCGTTCGCAAATATACTTTCTCTTTTTGGACGAAATTATGATTGTTTCTCTGTCCGCACCTCCACTGCTCTCTTTTGTTTCCGAATTTTCAATTTTGTTAACAATAACCTTGTCTGCATTCATCATATGTACACAAGCACTAAATATCACAACGAAAGCAGAATTTCTTCATTAAGGAACAATTCACCCAGACAGGATTTGTTATTCTCTGCCGAAGCTCGTTTTCATACGTAACGCAACAATGTAAATGAATGAAGGTTTTATTTTTGTTACATATTCCTCTCGTTTGTCACGATTCCCTCCATGTGTGCCTTCTACCTGCCAATTTAGACTTGGCAGACCTCCCCCAGTCACAAAACTGATACACTGATGCATCTGTTGACATTATGTCACAATATTCCAATTTGAAACAGTAGCGTCATTAATTCCATATTGATATTCCTTTGGGATTATAAGTGAGCTAAGGAGGGGAGCTTGCGAGGTTGATAATAACAGATCTCGATGCCCTTTGGATATGTGGTAGGGTCCCATGAGTGTACTAAAACCCTGAAGTGGTTTGACTCCATGGCCACATTTGCGCCCGCCACACCCACTCAAAAATGCTCAAAAAACGCTTTCACTCCAGTTTTCACTCACTCAAATCCACGCCAAAAATCCAATTTTACTCGGATTTTGAAATTTCTTTCACCATTATACTCCCAG